AGCTGAAACTTTGTGTTTTTCAGGTATCAACTCCATCGTGGCGATTGCCTCGTACACAGGATACAACCAGGAAGACTCTGTGATCATGAACAGGTCGGCTGTGGATCGAGGCTTCTTCAGGTGAGTCTCTGCTCTTCTGACTACACCTGAGTGCTTGTTTCAGTCTGTGGTTTGTCTGACGCTGCTGTTTTCCTCCTGCAGGTCTGTTTTCTATCGGTCCTACAAAGAGCAGGAGTCAAAGAAAGGTTTTGACCAGGAGGAGATTTTTGAGAAGCCGACACGTGAAACCTGTCAGGGTGAGAACTGATCAAACACAGAATCTGCTTCTTAGTTGTAGTCTCAGTTTGCAGTGTGGAATCACCTGTCAGTCATCTCAGGTGTGGTAGCAGTGTCCAGTCACAGATGTTAGTGGTGGGCGGGGTTAAATCACATCGCGCAGTGATAACAAACTGAATCATCCTCAGGTATGAGACACGCCATCTATGACAAGCTGGATGACGATGGCCTGATCGCGCCCGGAGTCCGTGTGTCTGGTGAAGACGTGATCATTGGGAAAACGGTGACACTGCCAGAGAATGACGACGAGCTTGACAGCACCAACCGCCGCTACACCAAGAGGGACTGCAGCACCTTCCTGAGAACCAGTGAGACCGGCATTGTGGACCAGGTGATGGTGACCCTGAACCAGGAAGGCTACAAGTTCTGCAAGATCAGGGTGAGGGGACACAACACCTGAGACATTGACTCGACACCTGAGACACACAACACATCACCTGAGACACCCGACACCACACACGACACCTGAGACACACGACACGACACCTGAGACATCGATTCGACACCTGAGACACACAACACATCACCTGAGACACCCATCACCACACACCACATCTGAGACACCCAACACACCTGACACGACTCCTGAGACACCCGACATGACACCTGAGACATCGACTCGACACCTGACACACACAACACATCACCTGAAAGACATGACAGGACACCTGAGACAGACAATACATCACCTGAGACACCCGACACCACACACCACACCTGAGACACCCAACATGACACCTGAGACATCGACTCGACACCTGAGACACACAACACATCACCTGAGAGACCTGACACAACACCTGAGACACCCGACACCTGAGACACAAAACACATCACCTGAAAGACATGACAGGACACCCGAGACAGACAACACATCACCTGAGACACCCGACACGACACCTGAGACACCTGACACAACACCTGAGACACCTGGAACAATGCCTGAGACACCTGACACTGAGTCAATGACGTTGGTTTTGAGGTGTTTTCTGACGAGCTTCTTCTTCCAGGTGCGTTCAGTCCGGATTCCTCAGATCGGAGACAAATTCGCCAGCCGACATGGACAGAAAGGAACCTGTGGGATCCAGTACAGACAGGAGGTAAACAGGAAATTGATCGACTCATTGATCGTCTCATTGATCATCTGTAAACTGAGTTTGACTCTGGTGTGTGTGTTGTGTTGAAGGACATGCCGTTCACCTGTGAGGGAATCACACCTGACATCATCATCAATCCTCACGCCATCCCGTCCAGAATGACAGTCGGCCATTTGATCGAGTGTCTGCAGGGCAAGGTACTAATCAATCATTCTGTTCTGCAATAATCAATAACTGTAAGGTGACTGATCACAAGGTAATAATCAGTTATTACATCATGGTAATGATCAGTCTCTATGATGATAATTATTATTATAGCAGCTTTTATTTGGAAAGAGGTGGGTTATTGTGCCCCTCTCTGTTGACTTATAGGTTCTCTGCAGCTGCTGATCAATCACATATTTATATTGACACATTGACAGAAGTTATTAAGTATTTTTGCTCGTTTTGTTTCAGGTGTCTGCAAACAAAGGTGAGATCGGCGACGCGACACCATTTAACGACGCCGTCAACGTACAGAAAGTATCGAACCTGCTGTCTGAGTACGGATACCACCTGAGGGGAAATGAGGTCAGCGTGAGGTCACATTGTTCACTTCATGCTAAACACACAAACCCTGCATCTGTTGGTGTGATGATGTCATTTTGACATCATCAAACAAAGACTGTCTGTTTGTATGATGATGTCACTGTGACATCAGGGTGAGGTCGATTCACGTCCTGAACTTTCAGTCATGATCATCATATTTAACACCATTTAAAATCTTTAACAGAGAAACACCAGGCACTCTCCCCCAGTGCATGCTGGGATATATTCTGTAAAAATTTTAAAATGAGAAACAGTCACACATTTTACCTGAAGAGGTTTCAAACTGCTGAACATCATCATGTCGATGATGATTGATAATTGATTTGTGATCAGGTTCTGTATAACGGTTTCACGGGGAGGAAGCTGACCTCTCAGATCTTCATCGGCCCAACGTATTATCAGCGTCTGAAGCACATGGTGGATGACAAGATCCACTCGAGGGCCCGGGGCCCCGTCCAGATACTCAACAGGCAGCCGATGGAGGGACGATCACGGTGAGTGACACACCTGTCTGAGTCACCTGTCTGAGTTACCTGTCTGTCACCTGTCTCTCACCTGTCTGTCTCCCACTTGTCGCTACTCAGTGATGGCGGTCTGCGGTTCGGGGAGATGGAGCGTGACTGTCAGATTGCTCATGGAGCGGCTCAGTTCCTCAGAGAGCGTCTTTTCGAGGCGTCTGATCCTTATCAAGTTCACGTCTGTAACTTGTGTGGACTAATGGCCATCGCCAACACACGGACGCACACGTACGAGTGTCGAGGCTGCCGGAACAAGACACAGGTAAACATCATCAATAACCAGTCACAGTGAGACACAGGTAAACACCATCAATAACCAATCACAGTAATCAATAACGTTTGTCTCTGGTGGTTTCAGATCTCTTTGGTCCGGATGCCGTATGCTTGTAAACTTCTCTTCCAGGAGTTGATGTCAATGAGCATCGCCCCTCGTATGATGACATCATAGAGTGGCTCGGCCTATCAAACACCTCCCTGCAGAGTTTAAGTGTGACATCATCAGCAGGAAGTGAAAGTTTAAGTTTAGTTTAGTTTAATGTTTTTACAGTTTCATGTCGTCGTCTCACTTTGTTTTTGTAAAAGTAGAATAAATCGGATTTTCTTGGTCACGAGTCTGTTCTTGACTCCTCATTGGTTGTACTCAAACAACAGACAATGTCAACAGACAGGCAGGTATCAACATGTCTGTTGACATGTTTTTTTTTTGTTGACAACAGAAATCAACAGACAACAAGACGTGAAAAGATAACACGTCAAGAAACGGACAACATGGTAACAAATGACTCGTTAACAAAACAGGCCTGGAACTTCGACACATGTAACTTTAGTTATTTGGCTTGACTGAACCTAACATTGACCTGATCACCTGTACTACGAAGCTGGTTATCACCTGGCTCAGTTAACCCTGGGTTTACCTGTCCGTTTACGAGCACGTTCATGTGAAAGAGGCGGAGTTAGTTATAAGCAACATCGTCTGAACCATGAATGAAGTTCTTAATATGATATGAGTAAACACACTGATACTTGCCAGTAAGTTCGATTATAGCAGCGTCCAAAAGTGATATCAACAAGGTGAAATGTGACAATATGATCAGATGACTGGAATTAAAAAATATTATTTCCATGTCTAAATATAATTTCTATTAAAGTCAGACTAAAGATATATTGTAAATAAGTGCATGAATTGTCATTATGTTTGAGTATTTATGCTCTTGTCTGATGATGAACAAACTTCTGAACATGTGATGCAGATAAAACAGTTAAAGTTAATATCAGACTGTCTCTGCTGCAGAGAGGAGAGGAAGACGAGGAGAGGACTAGTTGATGTCTGATGAGTCAGTCTGGTTTAGTCAGGTTTAGTTTTTATCTCCAGTTGTCACAGAGTCTCTTCATGTTCTGAGCTGCTGTGATGAAGAAGAGAGTAAAAGCATCTACACTGTCAGGAATCCTGTTGATTAAAAAATATTTGTTCAATTAAAATGAAGCTATAATAGTTATTATATATTTATTTAGTGTGATAAACTGTGAATTCTTTAGAAGTTTTGTTTTAAAACCAGTGACACATGGAAAGACTCAAACAGGAAAACTATTCCAGTGATTTATATTTTATATCTAGTGCTCGTTATTATTGATCACTTTATTGTGAACTCTTTTGTCCCTGTCAGGATCCTGTAGGAATGATGACTCAGTTATTCCCATGATTTGATTGGTCAGTAGTTTGGCTGTTGACAGGTTTTGATCTGATCCTCTGAAGTTAACCTGCGCCGGAGCAGGTTAGGAGTTCAACGTAAGTTACCATGGTGATTTACCTCAGTTACAAGTGAGCCACCATCGTAGGACGGAAAACCCAGAGTTAAACCTGAAGTTACCGGTACTACTACCACTCACACAAGTAATACTGCCACTCAAACAGGTAATACTACCACTCAAACAAGTACTACCACCACACTGTAAGAATACTCCATCACCAGTCAAAGTCCTGCATTCAGTGTTGCTTCAGTGAAAGTATAAGTAGTAGTGAAAGAATATTCAGGAAAATGTACTTCAAGTATTAAATTAAATACTCAATATACTCACGACCAGATCAGAGGTCAAAGGTTGCGTGAGACGTGATTCAGTTTAACTGCTGAATTTACACTTTGACACTTTATTTTGCAGAAACATCACTAATTATTTATCAGGAGGTTTTCTGGAAGAAGCTCTTTCATGCAAACAATAATTAAAATAATAAGGGTTGAAAGTAAAATTCAAATGTGTTGAACTTCCACAGTCAGTTCAACATGTACGGAGAATAAAAGTTTTTCAGTCAAAGAAATTCAGACATCCCTTGAATATTTAATCATAAAATATTGTTTCCAGAAAACCTCTCAGAAAGTGAAAATATTGATTATTGATCAGTTTCACACAATAAAAATGACAAAACATGACAATGAAGGACATTTTATTTTATTCAGAGAAAAACATGAAAATATTTTTCATTTTCCACCAAGAAACAAACTGAAGTTCAGAGGAAAGAGTTTAATGTTCACATCAATTCAGAATTGATCAATAAAGTTTCAGAAATAAACTGTTCAGATCAATAAATTTATCAAATTTATCAGAAATAATAAAAACAAAACGTTTCTTCTCCGTCAACGTGAAAACATTCACACATCAGAGTGAAGCATCAGCACTGTTGCTATGGTGACCTGCATCAATGAATTAATCTTAAAATCAGATTAAAGTCTTTCCAAAATAAAAGCCTGATTGACTTAAGTTGCTGCTCAGAGGGAAAAAACAATGAAATATAAAAGTGTAAAATATTAAAAGAAGAAAAGTTTATTTTAACAAAAAGTTTGAATCCAGATGTTTCGTCAGTTGAAAGCAAGAAGAAAACCCTCAACCCTGAATCTCACCTCTAAACTCAGAACGAGTAAACAACAAAGTTGCAACTAAAATTCAAAATAAAGTTTCAAAGAAAGAAAATAAGAAAATTTAAAAAGTTTAAAAAGTTTTAAAGTTTAAAAATTTTTTCCTGTGAAGATCGTCTTCATTGATCTCTGACCAGCTGATCACAGTTCATCTTCCTTCGTCACTGAAAGGAAATGACATCATCAGTCAGAGATTTTTATGTGATTTTCAAATTATTACTTCCTAAGAATGTACCTCTCTCTCTTTTTTAATTAATATAATTTATAGATTATTAAATTTATAATACTTAATTCATATAATTGATATGAAAATGTTTTTATTCTATGCTCTGAAATTAATGTGGAACGCGTTTAATGTTGACGTTTATTCTTCAGATTTAAAGGTCTCAGCATATTTTACATTACCGTGATGAGTTCAGGGAGCGTTGGTATTTTCTAAATCATTAGTGAGATCAATGATTTACTGCTTCAGTTTCTTCCTCTTCGTCTGACCTTGTGTTTGTGTATTTATTTTTTATCACTGATTTTTGGTTATGTTGTCGGTATCTCTCTACAATGATGTTGTTTAATTTGTTGTATTTGTGACTTTGTGTTTGTTTTTTTGTTGATGATGTCACTACCTGTCTTGACGATGATGTCATCGATGGACTGGACCAGGTGAATGGCTCCCACAGCTGAAGCTTCACCTTTAGAGTTTGTGGCGTGACACTCATACGATCCTTCTTCTTCTTTGGTCAGAGGAGAGATCTGAAATAAAAACAGCAGATCCTTCTCATCGGTCCAACAGAGAGCTGCTGTCATGACGTCATATCATGTACACTATATATATATATATATATATATAAATGTGTGTGTACATATACAGTATCAGAAGTCTTGATTTCAGTTTTTATATATACATGTATATGGTGTTGTGTGTGTGTGTGTATAATGTGTATATATATATATATATATATATATATATGTGTGAGTGTATATATAGATCACTGACCAGCACCCAGCCGGTCACTTCATGTTTCTCTGGTCCTCCTCTGGTCTGAATTGCCAGATTGTCTCTGTCTCCAGGAAGAAGCTCCATCTTCTTCTTCCCACTGAGGACCTGAGGGAAGACACCAAGCATCATCATCATCATCACAGTCATCCTCCTCATCACAGGCTGTATCTCTGACTTGTGTCTAATATTTCTTTTTCACAGACAAATGAACAGTTGTGTTCCCCCACTGTGTCTGTCAAACAGTTTCAGACTAAATTAAAGTGTGAAGTTAATTTCTTCACATGTAACTGATCCGAGATGCTTCATATTAACAGACAACTGTCAGTCACTAAATATAATCTGAGCTTTACTTTGTTATAATTCATTCACTGAATCCGTTAGAGTGAAGTGACGAATCACTGAGGGCCCTGAGCCTCAGGTTGGACACTACAGTTCATCAAGTGATCTGCGCTCTGCTGGAGGCGGGGCCTCATGATGATGTCACTTGTCTGTTTAACTTTGAAGTTTGTTACCTTCAGACTCGTCGACCTGCTCGCACTCGCCCTCGTCCTTCATCTCTGACGGGATCAGAAACAGGCTGCAGCTCGTCTCTGTCTCCTCCACAGCTCAGTGAGTTCAAGCTTCAGCAGAGTCTGAAGCTGCTGACAGATGCACTAACACCTGAACACACCTGAACACACCTGCACACACCTGCACATACCTGAAGACCTGAGGCTGGAGGTGACATATGAGCTCATATCTGGAGAATTTCTACATCTTCATTATTTTTTCACCTTGTTGATCTTAAATTAATAAAATGTTCTCGACTTTGTTTCACTTTATTAGGAACACCTGTACCTGTATCTGAAGCTGCTGATCTCCTGGATTTTCACTCACAACAGATTCTAGAGTTTTTACATCCAGTGAGCAGCAGCTCTGTGTTGATCAGAGGAGAATGGACAGAAAGACTCTGGTCACTCAGATAACCACTCTTTACAACTGCGGTGAGCAGAGAAGCTTCAGAGTGAAAAGCATGTCCAACCTTGAGGTGTTTTCTTGACTGACTTTGATCATATCAATCAATCAATCAATCAATCAATCAATCATGGTCTGAATGTCTCAGTCTATCTGATAGTTGTTGCTGAACATGTCCATCCTTCCTTGCTCCTTCCAGCAGGATCAGGCTCCATGTCACAAACTGGTTTCATCAACATGACAGTGAATTTCTCTGAGTCCAGACCTGAATCCAGTAGAACACTTTTTTACCTTTAATCAACACTTCTACACTAGATCTGATCAATGTACATTTATTAACATGAACCACAGTCCTGTAAGTTTGCAGTAATTAAACCTCTGGATCCAGATGTTTCTCTACATTTATATCAAACTGCTTCATGACCCTAACTTTGTATTTTCTCTCCTCAGATACTGAGTCTGGTACTTCAAAGGAATTGTTCCTCTCTGATGGTTTCTCTCTATAATGTTCTACGGTCTGGACCTGACTCTGTGAAGATAATGTCTGTTATGATTTGGTGCTATACAAATAAAGTTAAATTGAAGTGGATGTGGTAAAACAGGAGGATGTGATGTAGTTAACATGGAGCAGAGTCTCAGAGTAATGAGGCCTGACTCAGTGTTAGTGTTCCTGATGAAGTGAGTCTACATATACTGTTGTTTATAACCAGCAGACTTCACTGACATTAGATGTTACTGGAGAGTGGAGGACCTTCTGTCCGCTGGTTGATTTGTACAGGTGGTGTCTGGAGTCCAGCAGGAGGTTTTCAAAAAATAAAAGTTCCTCCATCGTTCAGTTCAGTTCAGCTGAGATTTATTTCCTGTTTTTTATTTTTAGGTGGAGTCCCTGCAGACTTTTATTGTCTCAACAAACACTAGCAGGAAACAGGAAATCAGCAGAAACAGGAAGAGGGAGAGTCCAGGCACTGCAGCTCAGAGAAACACCAGCTCATATTCATGTTCCTATCAGGTGTAAACTGGGACTCACTCACCTTCTTCCACGTGAGAACAGGTGTGGGTACGCCCACCGCCTCACAGCTCAGGTACACCTGAGAGCCGCTCACATTGTAGACTTCACCTGGAGGAGTGACGATGACCGGAGCTACAGACAGACAGACAGACAGACAGACAGACAGACAGGGTTAAATTAGAGAAATTTACATAAAGTTTAGTTGCAGAGACTCAGGGTGCAGCAGGATGAAACAGGGTGCAGCAGGATGAAACAGGGTGCAGCAGGATGGAGCAGGTCCTAGGAATCAGAGGAATCCAGTTTTCTCAGAGGGTTTTCATGTAGAAAGGAATTTGGTGTTTTCAGAGGGATCATGGAGGATTATCAGAGATCAGAGCCTGTTCTTGTCAGACCATCAGCGAGGCGGGAACACAGTTCATTGATCACTGATTCTCATCAATACTGCACACTATCATTTTCTGTTCAACTCTTTCTGTCACACTGACACACCTGTCTCACCTGTGTCTCACCTGTGTATGGCCTGCCTGACCTCACCTGTCATCAGCAGTCTCACCTGTATGATGTCACTCACCTGTGGCGCAGCGGCCCTTGTTCTGGACGTTGATGGGTTCTTTCCCTTCGCTCTGGCCTTTCAGGCTGGCGCTCTTCAGGGCGCAGCCGCTCTTGTACGTCACCCCGTCGGTCCCGCAGACCTCGTAGTTGGTTTTACAAACGCAGACTCCCAGCTTGTTCTTCTTGTCCTCATCGCTTTTGACGCACTCCAGTCCGGAGCCGCAGCGGCGCGCTGCCGCGCGGCGGCCGCCGCACAGCTCTCCCTCCGCTGCGGCGCAGACCGAGCAGCAGCCGCAGGAGTCCAGCAGAGAACCGGCGGCACAGCCCTCCGCCGGGAGAGGAGCGCACTGAGCCGGGTCACACTGTCCGCAGCTTGAACCCGATGAGACCCGGACCGAGAGCACCGGGAGGGTCGACAGGACCGGAACCAGACACAGAAAGATGAAAGACTTCATTGTTGTCTGATGGAGATCTCTGATCTGGACTCTGATCTGGACTCTGTAACAGTCTGTAACAGTCTGAGGTCTGATCTGGAGACTGAGCTGTTAAAAGCTGCTGACTCCGCCTCAAACCAAGAACTGATCCCAGTCACAGACCAGGTCTCTGGAGGAACAACACGGACTGAACAACTGAATACTAAAATTAGTACTACTAGTAGTACTACTAGGACTACTAGTAGTATTGTAGTATATATATACTGTATATATATATATATATATAATATATATATTCAGTGTTTGAACTGATGTTTTTAATAAAAACTGCTGCAGGTGTTTTTTAATACTTTCATTAATATACAATTAGCTTTAAGCAAGGGGGGTTGGGGGTTGATTAGGTTGGGGGAATTTTTAAATTTTTAACAATAAATAACTGAAAGATGAGATTTAGTCTTTATGTCAAACTGGCGGCATCATCCAGGACGTGTTGTATCTGTTCATTATTGAATCAGGGTCAATGAATTTCTGTAGAATATCATTTATCATAAATGGAAACAACAGTTAAATGATGTGATCAGCTGGAAGAATGGGAAACTGCTGTGATTCAAGTTTTATGAGTCCTTCCTCTAAGATTGTAAACAAACATATAGCTGATTCATTAAGTCATTTTAAATTTCAGAGATGTTTCACAAGTGTTAATTCTATTGTAATTGTATCTAGATATAATTTTAATTTAAACATCTCTAGAGGTGGTTAGGTCGATCAGATCACAATCCGTCCTCAATCCATTTTGTGTGCATTTAACCAAAACACATTTTAATGCCAGGTGTAAATGGAGTAAGAGATGTTTAGGAGATGTTTCAGAGACATTTCATTTAGGACGACATTTAGGAGACGTTCATGGATGTTTGAGGGCTTTATAAAACGGCAGGATGTCAATTGTCAGCTGGTCGGTGGGATAAAAACAAACAGGAAATATCCCAGAGTCAGAGGTCACATTTATTCTTCCTGTTATTGTTCAAACTCTTTTTGGTTCATTTTTGCAGAGCAGGATTTAACTGCAGAGTTTAATGTAATATTATGAAATTTTAACACTGAGTATTAGAGTGTTGAATGAATGTTTATGGATAATAATTTAACAAGAGTTTGAATGTTTAAACCATAAATCACATGGACCAGGTCTGAGGCACACTGATAGAAAACATATATACAGCTGAAGTACTTTATATTTGCAGTAGTCTGTGTATTTATTTGTAGTATTTGCTGATGAACGCAGACAGCAGGTCTCTGTATGGAGAGTCTGAGCGAGGAGTTTGGAGTTTGAGGATTTTGTGGATCGCAGGAGAACGAAGGAGAAGGTTGTGACTGAATCCCAACAGACTGGAGGTAAACCAGTACAGAGCCATGGACTGGAGGGGGGGGCAGAAACAAAAAACAAAGTGATGTTAAAGAGTGAGAGACACCATATAGGAAGAGTTCTTCAAAATAAAATACAAAGTAAAATAATAAACTCTAAGGTCTCTACAGGTCTGGTTCTGGTCTGGTTCAGGTCTAAGTCACTGTAAAGACTTTTGTCCTCCATCAGAAACATGTCTTCAGAGCTGCGGGCCCTGGTGCAGGTCCTGATCTCAGAAAAAACATGTCTGTATGTGTTTAATCTGATCAACATGTGACAAACACGCAACACTGAGAGGAATGTGAACAGATCCCAACATGTAAACCTGCATTCCTTCTGCACCTGAACTTGAACCTGGATCCACTCTGAGACCTTCACACTCAGACTCAATCTTTCACAGATGAAGCACAGAAGGTCTGAAACATACGATTGATACTGTTACTATAATAATAATAAATAATAATAATGTTACCATTGCTGGAAGCACGAGCACACGTCACTAATTAATCTTCATAAACCTGCTGATTCAATGACACTGTAGAGGAAATGGTGAAAAGTGACGGACCGGCCTTCTACTCACCGAGGGGACGGTAGCAGCGATGGGGATCATCAGGACTGAGAATCCTCTGGTGAAGTTCAGGACCAGCTTCTGGAACCGAGTCGGACTGACTCTCTGAAGAGAAAACACCTGAAGAAGAAGAGGACAGGAAGTTAGACATAACATCATAGGTCAGGTGATCACACCCCTGCTGACAGACTGACCTCCACAATGAGCAGGTTGATGAGTCCCAGACAGACCGGCAAGATCCAGGTGGAGTCAGGTGAGGTGAGGTCCGAGAACCACAGAGCGCCCCCTGCTGCCAGATCACACTGCAGCGCTGCACAAATAATACACAGGTTAAAGTCCTGGACCAGGACTGATCCAGAGTCCAGAGGCCTGGACTACAGAGCAGGTTCAACAAATCCAGGATAACTTGTCTTTATCTGGTTAAACTGAACTTGACATTGTCCTGATAACCTGTACTATGAAGCTGGTTATCGCCTGGTTCAGGTAACTGGTTTACCTGTCCAAGCACAAGGTTGTTCATGTGACAGAGGAAGAGTTTTAATTACAAACAACATCATCAGAACCATGAATAAAGTATTAATATGGACCAGTCCTGGATTAGTCTGGCAGAAGAAACACTGACACTTGCAGGTACATTCGGTATAGTGACATCATCATGTGAAAGGTAAACAAATTAGAACAGAAACAAATAATAATTTGACTGTAAATAAAATCATGAATCATCAAGTTCCTTCTTTTGTCTGATTAAGAACAAACTGTTTGAACGTGTGATGAAACAGTTTAAGTGAATGTCAGACTGTTATTTATTATTTATTACCAGACCAGTTATTATGGAGTTATTAAGTGATACACTCTCCTCTGTTTTAAAACCATTCACTGATCAATACAAATATCTACTGATCGTTATTATTGATCACTTTATTGTAAACTCTTTTGTCCCTGTCGGGCTCCTGTAAAAAAGATGACATTCTAGTCTCAGTGTTTCCAGTGATCTGATTGGTCAGTAGCCTGGCTGTTGACAGGTTTTGATCTGATCCGGAGCAGGTTAGGAGTTCAGCATCAGTTACCATGGTGACTTATCTGGTAACAAGTGAACCACAGTCGTAGGACTAAAAACCCAGAGTTAAACCTGAAGTTACCTGATGACCTCAGATCCTGCTTCATAGTACAGACCTCAGGACCAGGACTAAGCCATGACTGGTCGTGACTCCAGTCCACATTCTGTCCTTACCAGACTGATCCAGGCTCAGGTTTCGAAGGGCCAGAGAGAGGCTGATCCAGAGGGGTAGCTGAACCCAGACCAGCAGACTGGCTTTGAAGGGGTGACAGTTGTCTCTGATGTAGAGCTGAGAAACAAGCCGACGCAGGTTCTTCTGGAAGTGGAACCTGAACAGAGAACAATAAATAATAATCAATAACAAACAAACAACACAAACACCAGACAGCAGGATGATGAGTTTGAGGAGATAGAATAAATTAAGATAAGAACCTACTGACAGACGTTTGTTTGTTTGTTTGTTTGTTTGTTTGTTTGTTTGTTACCGGCTCTGTTTGTCGGTCCAGCCTCTCTCTCTTGCTCGGACTGAAACTTCGTATCGAAGTCTCTTCGCCAGCTCAGAGATCTCCATCTGCAGCCCCTCCACCTACACATCAGCTGGAGGTTACTACGGTTACCGTGATAGAGGAACAGGTAGTTGGATGCAAACAGGAGAAATAACATGCAAACAGGATCATGTATAAAGACAGACAGCTTCAAGATGTACGGCAATGAAGGAAAAAGATGTTTAGACATTTAATGTGGATGTCCCTGAGGATGAGAGAACATCTGGAGGAGGAGGAGAGAATCGTGGGAGAGTGTGGCTGATGTCTGCATTCCTGAAATGTTTCATTACTCGGAGGACAAACTGTTTAAACTCACAGTTCAGATTTACAGTCATGAGTCACTGACCTCAGTTTGTATGTTCACAAGTTTACATGTTTATATATTTACATAATTAAATGTTTATATATTAAACAACACAACCTAAAACAATATTATGACTACTTGGAATGAAAGTTTAACTCTGGTTATTCTATGTTTAAATCTCATGTTAGGACTCCAACCAACAGTGTGTTGATCTGTCTCTTAACTCTTCCCTCCTCTGTGTCTCTCAGCTCTGAGCTCATTGGTTCCTACTGAAGATGTACAGTACTGTGCAAAAGTTTTAGGCAGGTGTTAGAAAATGTTGCAAACTAAGAATGCTTTCAAAAATGGAAGTGTTAATAGTTTATTTTCATCAATTAACAAAATGCAGTGAATGAACAGAAGAGAAATATAAATCAAATCAATATTTGCTGTGACTGCCATTTGCCTTCAACAGCATCAATTCTTCTAGGTTCACTTGCACACAGTTTTTGAAGGAACTCGGCTGGTAGGTTGTTCCAAACATCTCTGAGAACTACCCACAGATCTTCTGTGGATGTTGGCTTCCTCAAATCCTTCTGTCTCTTCATGTAATCCCAGACAGACTGGAGGGGGTCAGGGTCAGGGCTCTGTGGGGGCCACACCATCACTCCCAGGACTTCTTCTTCTTTATGCTGAAGATAGTTCTTAATGACATTGGCTGTATGTTTGGGGTCATTGTCCTGCTGCAGAATAAATTTGGGGCCAATCATACGCCTCCCTGGTGGTATTGCATGATGCATAAGTATCTGCCTGTATTTCTCAGCACTGAGGACACCATTATTCCTGACCAAATCTCCAACTCCATTTGTAGAAATGCAGCCCCAAACTTACAAGGAACCTCCACCATGCTTCACTGTTGCCTACAGACACTCATTATCGTACCGCTCTCCAGCCCTTCGGCGAACAAACTGCTACAGCCAAATATTTCAAATTTTGACTCATCAGTCCAGAGCACCTGCTGCCATTTTTCTGCACCCCAGTTCCTATGTTTTCGTGCATAGTTGAGTTGCTTGGCCTCGTTTCCATGTCGGAGGCTTTTTGGCTGCAACTCTTCCATGAAGACCACTTCTGGCCAGACCTCTCTGGACAGTAGACGGGTGTAACTGGGTCCCGCTGGTTTCTGCCAGTTCTGAGCTGATGGAGCTGCTGGACATCTTCTGATTTCAAAGGGAAATAAGCTCGATGTGTTTTTCATCTGCTGCACTAAGTTTCCTTGGCCGACCACTGCGTCTACAATCCTCAACGTTGCCTGTTTCTTTGTGCTTCTTCAAAACAGCACATCTGTGACATGAACTGTCTTCCACAACCTCACCTTGGTAGCAGAGTTTGGCTGTTCCTCACCCGGTTTTAAGCCTCCTACACAGCTGTTTCTGTTTCAGTTAATGACTGCGTTTCAACCTACATGTGAAATCATTAGCACCTGTTTGGTATAACTGGTTGATCATACATCTGACTATAATCCTACAAAATCCCTGACTTTGTGCAAGTGTACCTGTAAGTATTGATGCTGGTTTGAAGGCAAAGGGTAGTAACACCAAATATTGATTTGATTTAGATTTTTCTTTTGTTCGCTCACTTTGCATTTTGTAAATTGATAAAAATAAACAATTATTATTTATATTTTTGAAAGCATTCTTAGTTTACAGCATTTTTTCACACCTGCGTAAAACTTTTGCACAGTACTGTAAATCTAATAAAAACTCATTTACTAAAACATCTGCTCACTGTGGTTTCAGACACATCGGGGCTGAGTGTGTGTGTGAACATTTATCAGTGTGTATGTGATGTGTGGCTGCTAAACATCCAGTCTTGGTCCTGGTCCACTTCATCTGATGGATTTACATCAGCCTCTGACGTCAGACGTATAAAAACAAACAAACATCTGATCCAAACATAAACTGCTGTTTGAATGATGTGTTGTTGTTGTTGTTATCATGAAGAGCTGCTTCTCTGCAGGTGGAGGTTCAGCCACAGCAGGGGCAGCATGTCGCCCCCTGCAGGAAGTGAAGTTCAGCACACTAACAGTGTGACTCAGAACATTTGACGGATTCTGAATCATCCTGTCAGACCACAGAGTCATCCTGATCTATCAGAGCCCCACCCCTCCAGACTCACCTTGGAGACGATGACCAGCTGGTGGGCGGCAAGCGGCAGAGTGATGAGTGTCCTGACCGACAACGTTGCCACAGCGATACTCATCCACCATGGCAGCCCGCTCACCTGCTGGACACTCACCAGGAAGTGTTCACACAGGTGAACAAGAGCAGAGTCCGCCAGGCTGCTGTACCAGCCGGATGCACCTGCAGCACCTGCAACACCTGCAACATCCCCACCACTGACACCTGAGGCAGTCCTGACAAGTGACCTCTGACAGCAGACTGAAGTGAGTCCAACAGATGCAGGTGCAGACCAGGTGAGACCAGGTGCAGTTGACTTCCTGTGGATCACAGTTGAACAGACTCCTCGAACAGGAAGCTGAGGGAGGCGGAGCTGCAGGAAGCTGGACCTCAATGATCCCCCCACACTCCACATGGTGACCCCCACCCCCCACAAAGTCCTAAAACACAAAGAGACAAACAGGACTGAGTCCAGGACCCTAAACCTGAGCAGGCCTTCTCAGTACAGAGGCCTGTACTACAAAGCAAGTTCAACAAACCCAGGATAACTTTTAGTTATTTGGCTTGACTGAACCTAACATTGACCTGATCACCTGTACTACGAAGCTGGTTATCACCTGGCTCAGTTAACCCTGGGTTTACCTGTCCGTTTACGAGCACGTTCATGTGAAAGAGGCGGAGTTAGTTATAAGCAACATCGTCTGAACCATGAATGAAGTTCTTAATATGATATGAGTAAACACACTGATACTTGCCAGTAAGTTCGATTATAGCAGCGTCCAAAAGTGATATCAACAAGGTGAAATGTGACAATATGATCAGATGACTGGAATTAAAAAATATTATTTCCATGTCTAAATATAATTTCTATTAAAGTCAGACTAAAGATATATTGTAAATAAGTGCATGAATTGTCATTATGTTTGAGTATTTATGCTCTTGTCTGATGATGAACAAACTTCTGAACATGTGATGCAGATAAAACAGTTAAAGTTAATATCAGACTGTCTCTGCTGCAGAGAGGAGAGGAAGACGAGGAGAGGACTAGTTGATGTCTGATGAGTCAGTCTGGTTTAGTCAGGTTTAGTTTTTATCTCCAGTTGTCACAGAGTCTCTTCATGTTCTGAGCTGCAGTGATGAAGAAGAGAGTAAAAGCATCTACACTGTCAGGAATCCTGTTGATTAAAAAATATTTGTTCAATTAAAATGAAGCTATAATAGTTATTATATATTTATTTAGTGTGATAAACTGTGAATTCTTTAGAAGTTTTGTTTTAAAACCAGTGACACATGGAAAGACTCAAACAGGAAAACTATTCCAGTGATTTATATTTTATATCTAGTGCTCGTTATTATTGATCACTTTATTGTTCTCTTCTCTGATCTAACAGCTGATTGGTTTGGATGTTGGATCCATAACAGCTGATTGTTTTAATCTGTGAATAAATGTCTTTACACAGTTCAAACTACATTATGAATAAAAGACTATCTGAGTAACTATCTAATCATTAACTATGTGTACAGATCTGGCAGATCAATAACTATCTAACCATCAGTTATTACAGACTCAGCACAAACCGAACCAAATTCACTGAAGATCATTCTACTGTGAAAAATCAAACCTGAACGAACCTCTGTGACGTCAGCGCTCAGGTGAGGAGTTCCCGAGTTTCAGAGCGGAGGAGAATAAATCACTAAATTCAATTTTATTATTATTCTGTCACCTTCACTCCTCCATCCACCGGCAACTCAGCGTCCCACACATATGACGTCATTCTGTTTACCGCCGTGTGACAGGCAAATGTGACGTCATATAGAGGTCATTATTTAAAAAAAAAAAAAAAAAATTAAAAACGATAAAGTATAATTAATCAGAAAATCTAAAAACGCAGTTCATGAGCAGATAATCAGCTGACAGACGGAAATTTACCGGAAACTTCCACACGCCAAACTCAAACCGGAATATACGCAATCGCACTTTCACAATAAAAGCATGACACTGTAATGCGTAGAAACGGACGGCAGCATACTGTATATCTGCGTCTTATTAAATGTCATTATGTTGTTACTTGTATTGAAAAGCTACTGCAAATGGATCCGAAGAGTGCTTTTTAAAACAATTAATAAAAATATGTTCATAACTCCATTAAGCAGACGTTTTATTTAGTGGTCTTTCAAGACAATCAAAGAAAACATAAACATTAAAACTGGAGCATTGGTGAACATGTCATTTGGCTAGGAAGGACAACTCAAACAAAACACCGACATTTAAAGCTACTGATCTCAAATTATTCAGGGTTCAATTAAAAACCCAGAGGTGGAAGATCCTTTACCTCAGTAAAAGTAGTAAAACTACAATTTATAACTCAGTTACAAATTTTTACTTCATCAAAAGTAAAGCACAAGTACCTCGAAATACAACAACTCACGTAACGTATAAGTATCTTGAAACTGTAGTTAAGTGCAGTACAGGACAGCTGAGTTACTGTAATCCTCTAGTCTCTTTTTGTCTTTTATTGTGAAGTCTGAAACCCTGACACCGGCAGCTTTGTAGGAGGAAATCACTACCCCTTCCTCCCCACCCCCCTCAAGTGGGACAGCGGCCATGGCGGAATACAGCCAGGCTGGCCTCCTGGCGGCTCTGCTCCTCTTCACGGCTCTCACGGTCCGGGACGTTTACCTCGGGAGATCGAGCCCGCAGCGCGGACATCCACCGGTCAACAGCCCTGGCCTCTCTCCCCCGGACGCAGAGCCCGGGAAACCCGCCAAGTCTTCCCTTTACACCGGGCCAGTGCTCAGGTTCCAGTACTGGTGAGTTCGTTAGCAGGCTAACGGCTAACAGCTAACAGGCTAATAGCTTGTCAGACAGGTTTTATAAAGACTGAACCAGACTGGGGACAGACTGTGAGTTATATATCAGATCAGCTATAGATAGCTGCTGGTTTCACATCAGATATCACAGTTCATTCCATGATCGATTATTTTCTGGATTAATGATTTGATATGTGAAATGTTTACAGTCTGAGCTGACACTCTCTAAAACTCAGGCATATAAAATTTACTATGAACTCTGAGTAAAAATGGGTCATGGTACGTTTGACTTTGTCCTAGTGATCAGAACTGCAGGTGATTTTTCTCTCAGTCGATTGACTGATTTGGATAAAGTGTAAAAACTGATTAATGTGACAAAAGAGAGAGAATCTACTGAGTCTGGTAGATAAAATCTGACCTCATCTGACTTCACCTGACCTCACCTGCCGGGTGTTTCCTCTGTGCATATTTCCAGCATCTCCTGAGGTTACAGCAAAGTGTTCCAGGACTACTCTCACACCATCAGCAAGCTGTATCCGGACATCCGCATAGAGGGGGAAAACTACCCCCCCACCCCCTTCAACAGGTGAGCTGTGACATCACTACACTGCCCCATCCCCCCACCCCCAAAGAGGTGAGCTGTGACATCACTACACTGCCCCCCGCCCTTCAACAGGTGTGCTGTGACATCACTACACAGTCTCCAGCCTCTCTCTCTCTCTCTCTCAACCCCCAGGTGTGTGGGTAACCTGATCTCCTACCTGAAGCTGCTGTCCATCCTCCTCATTGTCAGTGGTCAGAACCCCTTCCTCCTCCTCGGCCTTGAGACTCCAAGAGCTTGGACCTGGAGTCAGGACAACAAGGTACCTCTTACCATGGTAACAGATGCTGCAGCTGGTTACTACGGTGATGGCTCTAACATCACATGGCTGTGTTTTCTCAGATCTTCTCCTGTCTCATGGCCTTCTTCCTCTGCAACATGATGGAGACTCACTTCCTGTCGACTGGAGCCTTTGAGGTCTCTCTGAATGGTGAGTCTGATTGGTTCAAAATATCATGATGTCACTCTGAACAGTGAGTCTGATTGGTTCAAGTCAACATGATGTTACTGTGAACAGTGAGTCATTCTTTCTGAAGTAAAAAGGATTTTTCCACCGCTTCCCTGGAGGGGTCTGGGAGGTGTAACAGAGATTATCGTCCCCTCTCTGATGGTGTAACGGTGATTATTGTCCTCTCTGTCTCTCAGACGTCCCTGTGTGGTCGAAGCTTCAGTCGGGTTATGTCCCAAACATCCAGGAGATCTGTCAGATCCTCGACACCCAACTGAAGATGAACCAGGTGGATCACATGTCCTTCTCTTCCACTTAGGCCTGCACACACAGGTAAACACACACAGGAAACCATACACAGAGTTCATGAAGACTGTACTTGGTTTTTAAACCAACTTTAATCTAATATTAAAGGAATAAACGAAGAGAAGAAGAGAAAATTGAGCCATTGAAATGATATTGAAGCTGGGGGAAACAAAACCCAGAGAACTGCTGTTACACCGTGAGAGCCGCCCGGAGCTCACCAGCGCTATAGGAAGTGGAATTCAGTCTTCTTAAACTCCGCCCCTGCAGTCTGCACAGGTCATTTGATATGGATTGTCCTCTCACCTTTCTCTCACCTGCCTGTCTCTCTGTGTTCAGGTGTCCCAGCTCAGCGGGACGTTCAGCAGCTGGCATTCATGAAGGTCTGGCCCTAAAGCAGATTCTGCGGGGCCCGGCCGGATGTTCCCCGCCACGAAACGAGCGCTCCCTCTACACCTGGTCACAGCTCAGCACTACAGTACCCACAATGCACCTGTCAGCAGGTGGAGTCTGTTGACAGGATGAGGACAGGTTTTTGTCGGTTGAGGTTTATTTTATTTATTTAATTTGGGGTTCTGTTTTTTTCGGCAGGAACAATATTAAACTACAGTACCACTCTTAGCTTCTTGCTAATTAGCCTCTGTCTGGAGAGGAAGTAACAGACAGGAAACCGAAATGTAATGAATAATTAAAATGCTCTTAATGTGTCAGTCTGTTAGTTTTTAATTCAATCTGTAAAATGTCTGAAATAAAAACAAGTTTCAGTTTGTGACTTTTGAAGTTTGAATTCAACATCAAACTAATGTCAGGCTTTTAATTTGAAAACAGGAAATGAACTGTGTTGTTACTTTGAAACTGATTAAAATTATTCAAATGATTGGTTGTCAGTCTAGTTAATCATGACTCAGCCCTGGATTTCTTTCAGCTCTTTGTAAATAATCAATAATCAGGTGTGGAGGAAATCGTCTGCAGTTATTTATTGAACAGAGACTTTCATCAGGACACTTTTTTTAGTTTGATCAAACTTTATTGACAGAAAACAACCACAGACAAGTTGTTGATGTTTCTCATAAACCTGAACTGATCTGATGATGAGTCGTCAATGTGTTGTTAATTAAAATATCAGCTGAGATGAGTCAATGGAAACCAATGATATCTTCCATCAGATGCTTATTATTGATAAACATTTACATTTTGATTACTGATCAAAAACAGTTAAATCAGATTTTTATTGATAAAGTTCAACCACTAATAATCAATCGCTAACATAGCAGGACACCTGAAACACAGGACAGGTAAATCATATACACCTGTACTGTTTTTACTTCAGGACAGGTTAGTATTCACCTGGTCACAGGTCAGTGTTCACATGACCACAGGTGAGTGTTTACCTGGTCACAGTTTCTGCAGTGATGTTTGATAATGCTGACTTTGTCTGAACAGCAGCTGCAGGACTCAACAGGACAAACTGCCGAAAGACAAAAAACACGACAGTTTACAACATGACTCACTTCACCTGCAGCTCACCTGAACACCTGAACTCAGGACAGACTCAGGTAAATGAAGATTTTCCTGTCTGGTAGGTGTGAGACTCTCACCTGTATTATTACTGCAGGTGGTCGAATCAAACATTTTTTTTCAGAACATTACCTGGTGCAGACAGGTGAGAACAAAAATATTCTGGCATGTGTTGAAATATTTAAATCAAAATCACAGTTTTCTACTCACCTGAGATTAACTGCTGCAGGTGATCATCAGTGTTGCTGCTATGGGAACACGACTTGTTGGGGTTGTCGGAGCCATAGGAGTTTATTCCCTGTTTCCTGTTCTGTTCAGTCTGAAAACAATTTAATAATTAAAACAACTTAGAACTTTATTTTAAAGTGGAAAAGATTAAATCTTTGTTTTTGAAATAGTTCAAATACTGACAGAAAGTGGCAGTTAAAATGGAGGAACATGAGCAAAGCTGAGGTGAAAGTTTATGTGAAAAGACTGAAAGGTGTTTCCAGGTGTAGTTGGTGCCAGTTCAAGTGTAAACAGGTTGAGAAACTATTTAAACAATGGAAGGGTTGGAGTTAGAGGAGCTGAAGAGGTTTATTGTGAAGGTCTGAGACCTGAAAGGGTTTGAAGTCTCAGTTTGTCCATTGACGTAATGTCAGAAACGTGACGCCATCAGAGACGACGAGTTTGCTGACATGTTGAATCAAATGTTTGAGGTTCGCTCTGACTCTGAGCCACGTCTCCGGTGAACAGACGATGACAAGTCATCTCACCTGAATGTCTCCTGTAATCCTCCACAGATTCAGGCTGGGGTAAAGAGAGGGGCTGGTACTCAGTTGTAAACTCTGCTCACTGTCCTCCCTTGTCCTCTGGACGTCTGTCCTCAGCTGAGTCAATCTCTTGCTGTGTCTCTCATCTTCAGAGCTGAATGAAGAAACTGTCTGAACGTCTCCAGCTGAGAAAACTATAGTTTCATACGGAGGAGCACTGGGACACCTGAGGGTAGGACAAAGGTATGTCAACTTTGTTGAGTCTTTGGACCTAATGCAAAAACATGTTTGTATTATACCCTTAAACTCTGTCTTTTTTCTTGGTGTTCACAGTCATACCCAACTGTATGAACTCTGCCTGTTTGAGATGTGCTCATTACCATAATCAATGCCCACAAATGTCTGTTAAGTTTACTTGTTCTGCTCTGTCAGAAAGTTCAGCAGCTGACAATGTGTCATCAGCAGCACAAAGTCAAACTGATTCTTCAGATTAGAATCAATAACATTCAGAGCATTCAAGGTTAAATAAATTAAAATTTTAGGAGAACCAGGAAGACTGCACATCCCCCTCCACGCAAACTCCTGGGAATCCACATAAGAAAAGACCTCACATGGTCCCTGAACACCTCCCACCTGGTGGAGCTCAACAGGGGCTTTTCTCCCTTAAGAGACTCAAACAGGCTAAACTCTCAGCTTCAGGAGGTCAATTTATTAGACCAATGCACTGACCCTGATAAAGGCCACAAGCCAAAACACATCAGTCTAATAAACTCATTCTGTTTACTGTAAGTGTTGCTGTTTGACCTCTTAAGAGTTTTCCTTTCTCTGTGAAGTTGTACCAGAAACCTCTAAACAATGACAAATACAGTGTCTTATATCTTATGAATGAATGACATTTCATACCTGAAACAAGCACAGGGCATCTGCAGACAGTACCTCGAGTTCACAGATTCCAAACACCACAGGTCTGAATCTTCCTCATCCCCTTCCTCCTTCCCCTCCTCCTCCCACTGCAGTTGGTCAGTTGATCTGAAGTTGAAGATGTTCGACAGTCTGATCCCAACAGTGTTCACCGTGCTCACCTGGTTTTCTTCTTCTTCCTCTTCATCACTCCATTCCTCCTCAGCCTCCTCACCTGTCTCCCTACTACTGCTCCCTTCCCCCTCCTGCCCCTCCTGCCCCTCCTCCTCCCTCACCTGTGGGGACCATGGAGTAGCGGGGTGAGGTGTAGATAGAGGTGAATTGGGTTTAACCTGTCGGTTGTTTTTGCTTCTTTGCAGAGCTGCTTCTACCCAGAGCCTGGACAGACCTGAGGAGGGAGAGGGGGAAGTGGGGGAAGAAGGATAGGACCTCCAGCGTCCCCCCCGCAGTAGAGGGGAGCAGGGCATGGAACAAGGAAGCCTTCTCCCCCTTGCCCCTTGATGAGGGGAGGAGGGGAGGAAGAAGTCGTCTCTTGTCTTTAGGAAAGGTCGGACAGGAAGTACAGGAGAGGACACTGATGTGTTTGAGGTTCCTCCCCCTGTGGGTCTGAGGCTGATGATGTCATAGATGTCGGGTGTCAGACTGCCTGAGTCTGATCTGGGATCATAGTCTGGACCAGGACTCTGAGTGTCGGTGGCCTCTGGGACATTCCGGTGAATCAGGGTCGACTCACCTGTCACCTGTTCTACCTGGAACAGTGACCTCCGGACGGGAGGTGGAGCGGAGGGCTGAGGTCTGCAGACTGACCGTGTTGTTCTGAGATGTTCTTCCTCTCCCTGAAGAAGTTCCCTGAAAATAAACAATCACAAAAATAAACCTAACTAGCTCTTATCAGAACACAGTAAAATGTGCCGAAGGCTGGGTGATCCTTCCTCTGGAAGCCCAGTATTAAATGTTTAGGTTCTGCAGTGGTTGTCACAAATCTATTGAACCCTCTGACAGGAGACCTCTAACCCGACCTAACTTACTTTTGACCAGCAGACAGCAGGTGCTCTACAGTATCTAGTGGCCGGCTTCATTGGCTTGATAGGCCAGGTCAGGTTCCATGAGTCTCACCAAGATCGTTGGGGTTAGGGTCAACTCCCCTCTGGTATGAGAGACCTTTCTGGATCAGATTCCATGCATTTCAGGTGAACAGGTGCCGTGAAAGAATATACTTATTTTGAAAGGATGGTGGGAAGTGAAGTTTTTTGGTTTAAAAAAACATAACTGTGTTGAGCTGCAGCTGAAGTCTCTGGGTAGAGTCCTGGAGAGGGTTAGGCCTCATGACTCTGTAGTTAAGACCCTGGACTTCAAGTCTCACATGAACAGTCCAGTCTGAACCTGAATGGTGTGTTTTGATTGGACTTCTGTGCTGGTATTGGATTTCTGCTGCATCCTAGTGAAGTTTGACAATATGATGTCATGATCAGATCCTTCATTGTGGAGGTGGATGCCCAGAGTTGTGGCCAGAAAGATCATCAGTTGATGATTCGGCATCAGATTCAGGAGGACTAATGTGGATTTTATTTCTGGTCCTGGATCAGCTTTTTACCCATGCAGGGATCCTGGGGGAGTCATTGGAGTTTGACCATCCAGTCTATATGTGTGGACTTGGAGAAGATTTATGAACATGTCCCCTGGGACGTCTTCTGGGGGGTACTGTTGGAGTCTGGGGTACCAGGACCATTATCTTACCTATGACTCCTTTCATCCTTGTATAACCAGAGTAAGAGTTGAGTCTGTGTTCTCAGCAAGTCCTGTCACATATTGAGACTGTTTACTTTTCTGTTTGTTTACCTGTCTGTCTCTCTACCTGTCTGTCTCACCTGAGCATGCCCAGTCTGGTGGGCAGGCTAAGATCTGGATCAGATCCATCTGTCCTGGTGTGACTGATAATTCCTCCATCCAGATCTCTGCAACAGAAACACAAGAAAGGGTATGACCAGTAGAACCAGTAGAACCAAAAACAATCACACAACTCTTCAATGTTCAGTTACATACACATATGGATGTTCTGTTATTTATTTCTAAGCCACTGTTGAGCACTACAATCTGACATCCTTGGGCAAAGTGAATTAACTAAATTTTTCTGTGTATTTTAATGTCTATTTTTGTTTTTTGATGATTTAAAATTTTTTTGGGGGCTTTTTATGCCTTTATTGACAGCACAGTAGAGAGAGACAGGAAATGGGGAGGCAGAGAGAGGGGGAATGCAGTAAAGGGCCGTCCGATGTGGGATTCGAACCGGGGCCGACTGTGGCGAGGACTGTAGCCTCTACATGTGGGGTGACTGCTCAACCCACTGCGCCACTCGACGTCCCTGATGATTTAAATTTTAATGCTTCAAATGATTGAAATGTTTGTTTCACCTGAAACGAGCTGGGAGTAAAACTCGAAATGTTTCTTGCTGACTGTTTTCTCTGAAACTTCTCAGTTTGAGATAAAATTCATTCCAATGTCTCCTGAAAATATTGAATTTACAGGTACATGACCTTCAATAAAATTTAATGGCATTTTTATTTTTGAAAAATCATGTAAAATAATTTTTCTTCACAACTTTAATGAGTTGTGGCTTAAAAAAAATTTAATTACTTTAAATCTTGTTAAAAGGGCCCACCCACCACCAAAAATAAAGCCACTTGATAAGACATTGTTGTTCCTGTCAGAATGATTGAAAGGTCTATTAATGCAGTGACTAATAAAGTTTTAATAGTTTTACGACAGTGTTAATGTTCGATTACATCATCACCTGGTGCCCAATACCAGAGTGTCCAGCTGCTGTGGGGTGCTCAGGATCTCCATAACGACCGGGACATGATGACAGGCCTCTGAGGTCAAAGGTTGAATCAGCAGATTTTTTAGTTCCTGTTGGAGTATGACAAAAAAGGTATAGTACTAATGTTAGTACTACTGCCAGTACTGTTAGCACTACTACCACTGTTACTACTACTGCTTACTGTTAGTATGATCTAACCTTTACTTTAAAATCACATTCATTCACCTAGTAATGATGCTGTATTTAAGGTATTTTATTATCGAGAGGCTGCAGAGATAAAAGATGGTAATGTGTTAAAATTGTAATCATGAATGTTCTGTATAGTTTAAACCTTAAAAATGTTTATTTTAAGGTAAAAATGAATGAACTGCTTGATTGCCATTCATGGTTAGGGTTATTGTTAAGGGCCACGGGTCAGACTCGAACCCAGGCCCTGTGGACTAAGTCTGTGGTATGTGGTCTACCAGGTTAGCCTCTTGGCTGCCCTTGGTAAGGAGTTTTAATATTTCATCAATCTGTCTGTTTAATAAAAGGATATCTTTTTTAAATGGTGACTTATTAGGAAATGGTACAACATATTTATTATGAGCAGGTTTAACATCAGTCTGATTCACCCGCAAACAAACATCAGATCTGAACATCATCTGAGAATCTAACAAAGACTGTCCTCTGTAGAAACTAAATCTGTGTCCTCAGATTTGAGTTTCAGGTCTTGGGTCTCATGTTTCTTCAACATGTGGACTCACATGTTGGACCTTAAATGTGTCTCAGTCCCAGGTTTAAGATTTCTAACTTTCTATTCAAACTCTGTTAAACTGCCAGAGGACACAAACTGAGAGAGATACAGGAGCTGAGGAGGGACAGAAAAGTCACTACACCTACACCTGTATACAGACTAACCCACCTGTTCTTCAGAACTACGCTTGTACAGTCTTACCCACCTGTTCTTCATAAAGTGGACTGTTCTAATGTTTCTGCAGTTGATTGATTGAGTTTGTTGTTTTATCAGTGAGTTGATGTAGTGGACTGAGTTATGATCAGGTGTTCTGTCCCTTCAGGTGTAAACATTAGAAACAACAGCAGCTTTAACTCTGAGCTAAACTGGGATGTTACATTAGACTCTAGAGGTGTGCCTCACAAAGTACACCTGTAGTAAGTTATCAGAATCAGTCTTATCAGCTGTTTTTATATTTGAGTCTTATTTTCTTCTCTTTAAATCCTTCACTGTTTTTCCTGTTTCTAGTTTTTATTGATTCTAATTTCAGCAGTGAAAGATTTACTGTTATCTTATTTATTGTTTAGTTATTTATTCTTGGTGTGTTTCGTCTGTTTATTTTTCATCTGTGGCTGTTCAGTCATTGTTCATATAGAATGATTCCCCAAGGGAATTTGTTTTAGACACATTTAGACACACACAGTTCACCCTGACCTGGTGGGTGTGATGGGTCAGAAATGTATGGGTTGATGAATGGGACCTGAGGATTTTCTACAGGTTTAGTTACTAGGTTGACCCTGCTGTTGATTGTACCATCAATTTGTTGCTCTCAATAAATGAATATAAGATGATATTAATATGATGAACTGTCCCTTTAAACAAAGGGCAGTTATAATGATATAAATGTACACCAATAATAATAACAATAAAATAAAAGCTAAAAGTTTTTACCTTCTTTGGTTTATTGAACCATCTCTTGATTTTATCCATCACTGCCGAAGTAATCTCCGCGTTTCTTCTCCCCTCTGACGCTTTGAGATTTCACGTGTACAGGTAGACTTTATGTGGGTGGGGCTTCACAGAGAGCTGATCATGTGTCTCTTTGTTCTTCTAATGTGACACCCGATCCAGGTACAGGTACATCATGTTCATGTCAGAGAAAACGTGAACCTCTGCAGGTTAAATGTCCCGTTTAATCACGGCTCAATAACTGATTATCATAATTCAAACTGTGCTCTTTTACTGAGGAGACACCTCAATGCTTGACTTTAACAGTAACATAACATGCATTTATTTATCTTTACTAAAACCCAGATACATTAATGAGCTTTATTAAAACATGAGGCATTAATGATGTGTATTAAAAACACATGATCAAAAATAATTTTATTTATTAAAAAATTATTGAACTGATCTGCTGCGGACTGTGACCACACATTTGAATCTGTGCTTCACTCAGAGACTGCAGGGGGCGCTGAAGCTCTTCTAACTCTGTTATCAACTTCAGTCAGAGAAGAAGAAGCTCCGGAAGAAGGCGGTGGTAGCAGCTAACGTTAGCATCAGATGTTCGGCGGGAATAAATTGGTCAAATATTCGTTATTCTGAGGTTCTGATGTTTAGAACTACACATCTTAAAATTGCCGCGGAACCATACCCGCTACCTGTTACCTGCTAACGGGACAGGGAATACACTGACGGTGAGGTTAAAAAGCTAACTGCTAAATGTCAAAATCTGTTTTCTTCCAAACTCTGAGTCTTGAACCACTTGAGCACAGAAGTAACCCCACCTGTCACCTCTTACCTGTCACTTGTACCTGACGCGTAGCCTGCAATACACCTATTACACAACGTAACCAAACGTTAAGATAGCAGCGCGACAGGAAACAGTTTGTAAAAGGCAAAATATTTTATCACAACACCTGCTTTTATGTACCTGCTACAGCTGCTGCTAGCTAACGGAGGCTAACATCACCAGGTTTTATTTAAACACTGTAACTAATGAAATGTTAAGTGTCAGGAGGATTAGACTGACGCTAACTGGAGCTATTTGATGCTAACTGATGGTAACTGAAGCTAACTGACGGTGACTGAAGCTAACTGACGGTAACTGAAGCTAACTGACGGTGACTGAAACTTACTGACGGTAGCTGAAGCTAACTGATGGTGACTGAAGCTAACTGACGGTGACTGAAGCTAACTGACGGTAACTGAAACTTACTGACGGTAGCTGAAGCTAACTGATGGTGACTGAAGCTAACTGATGGTGACTGAAGCTAAGTGATGGTGACTGAAGCTACCTGAAGGTAACTGAGGGTTACTGAAAGTAACCGATGGTAACTGTCTTTAGTAGTTAATGTTCTGTGTGTTTCTGTGAAAGTCAAATCTGAGTTAATCTGGTTTAATCTGATGAGGTTAAAGTGGTGAATGCAGTCTGAGTCTTTTATTAACCCTGTCTGTCTCTGTTTCCTATCCTCAGTCCTCAGGGTCCTCAGTCCTTGGTCGTCAGTCCTTGGTGCCTCTGATGATATGAGCAGCTCTGTAAGATGAATTCCTCTTCTCTGACAATTTGTAGTTCGATCTGCAGCACCTGAACATTCATTCATCACTTCATCTGTTCATTAGTTCATCCAGTCATCACTTCATCATTTATCTGAATAGACTAATCAGTACAGGTGATGGCTCTTATTAATACTTTTATGTTTTAAAAACAAAGTTGGTGCTGCATTTTATTTTATTAGTCTTCAATTCTACATAGATCACCAGTTAACCAGGTAACCCATCAATGGCCAAGAAATCACCTTCATTGATGTACCAATCTGTACTGATTATTTAACCTGCACTTTAACTGTTGGAGGGATCAGAGCCTTTTGATTTAATTACATCAGAGTTTTAGACAGACACCGGACCAACACGACTCCAGGGTACCTGTTCAGATGGATCAAGACCCACCCTCAGCTGTGATGTTGTGTGTGTGTGTGTGTGTGTGTGTGTGTGTGTGTGTGTGTGTGTGTGTGTGTGTGTGTGTGTGTGTGTGTGTGTGTGTTCAGGCTCATAGGAGGAGGAGGACCACAGGAAGTCCTCTGGTTTCCAGACCTAGCAGCAAGAACAGCAGAGCAGCTAACGCTAACAGAGTGGCTAGCAGGACGGCTAGCAGGACGGCTGGCAGGACAGTTAGAAGTACAGCTGACAGGATGGCTAACGTTAGCAGGATGGCTGATAGTGACCTTGCCCCCCCCACAGAGACCATTGATGTGATGGACAACACTGAGGACAGTTAGTACAGATCAATACTCTTATTGATTAGTGTTGTCAGGACAATAAACCAATAATCAATAATGACATACATCAGAAAACTGAAAATAATGTAGTTGCACATAAAATCAACAAGTGATGTATGTATTGTTATGTGTTCAGTTGTGGAGGAGGTGGTTGATTTGACCTGTGAAGGATCAGAAGCTGCTGTGGTCGACCTCACAAACAACGACTCAGTGCTGGTAACAACATTCATCAGTCAGTCCTAATCCTAACCCCAGTCAGTCGGTCAGTGGATCACTCAGTCAGTCAGTTGGTCAGTCAGGTGATCAGTCAGTCAGGTGGTCAGGCAGTCAGTCAGTCAGTGGATCACTCAGTCAGTCAGTTGATCAGTCAGTTAGGTGACCAGTCAGTCAGTTGATCAGTCAGTCAGTTGATCAATCAGTCAGTCAGGTGATCAGTTAGTCAGTTGATCAGTCAGTCAGTCAGTCAGTCAGTGAGTGGATCACTCAGTCAGGTGATCAGTCAGTCAGTCAGTGGATCATTCAGTCAGGTGCTCAGTCAGTCAGTTGATCAGTCAGTTAGGTGACCAGTCAGTCAGTTGATCAGTCAGTCAGTTGATCAATCAGTCAGTCAGGTGATCAGTTAGTCAGTTGATCAGTCAGTCAGTCAGTGAGTGGATCACTCAGTCAGGTTATCAGTCAGTCAGTGGATCACTCAGTCAGTCAGTCAGTTAGGTGACCAGTCAGTCAGTCAGTCAGTCAGTCAGTATCTGTGTACTCTGAGTTGTAACAGTTGACTTTGTTGATGTAAACATTGATTCTTCTTCTCTTGTTTCTTGGCTGCTGTATCCAGCTGCTGGATGAAGGTAAAAAACTCGACAGACATGTTGTTTTAAGGTTTAATTAAAGGGACAGTCTAACATTTGTCTGGGTGTCCTCCATCAGGTCCTCAGAACAGGAGAGTCCCCACAGGTGAGAGCTACATCGTCAGCAGTGATGAAGATGAGGACACGTCTCCTGTCCTAAATGCTGCCATAGTGTCCTCTGTTCACACTTCCAGGTATTAGATGGATCCATCATTACATTATCTCTATATTAGAGCCAGGTAATAGACCGATCCCTGCTGACAGTCTCTCTCTCTCTCTCTCTCTCTCTCTCTCTCTCTCTCTCTCTCTCTCTCTCTCTCTCTCTCTCTCTGTGTTCCAGGTCACCTCCGGGGACAATCAGCTGTCCCGTTTGTTTGGACTCGTACTCTGAGGTGAGACTAATTGATACCTGAAAAGCAGGTAGAATCCTGTGCTCTGATTGGCTGGTTTGAACAGCAGGTAGTATCCTGCTCTCTGATTGGTTTTTATTTCCCCCACAGATCGTCGACAGCGGCCGATTGGTTGTATCCACTAAATGTGGTCACGTATTTTGCAGTCAGTGTCTGAGAGACGCTCTGACATCATCACACACCTGTCCTAACTGCAGGAAGAGACTCACTCATCGCCAGTACCACCCCCTCTACATTTGACATCACTCTGACATCACCACACACATTTGCTGCTGTTGGACAACATATTTCCAGTGACATCATCAGTGACATTATCGGATGTTTTTTGCTGCTGAATTTTATTTTTTAATTTTTTTTTGTTTTTTTTATCAGAAACATGAAACCTTCAGTCAGAGCTGATTGATTATTGATATTTGATTGATGTCTCATTCCTCAGTTTCCAGCTCATCTTTGTTTTCATCTGTTAAATGTTTATTTTCATGTGTAAAAGTAGAAATTAATAAATACATTTATTGACTGTGAAAACAGTTTGTGTTTTCTAAACTTCATCAGAAGAACCAATCAGAGACCAGGGTACATCAGAGTCCTGAGGTCTGTACTATGAAGCAGGATTTGAGGTCATCAGGTAACTTCAGGTTTAACTCTTGGTTTTAAGTCCGACACTGGTGGTCCACTTGTGGCCAGGTAAATCACCATGGTAACTGGTGCTGAACTCCTAATCTGCTCCGTACAGCCAAACCACTGACCAATCAGATCACTGGAAACACTGAGTCATCATTTCTACAGGAGCCTGACGGAAATAAAAGAGTTCACAATGAGGCGATCAATAATAACGATTAGTAGATATTCATATAAATCAGTGGAATCATTTTGTTTTGTTTGTTCCAGACCAGCACGTGTGATCATATTGTTTACATTTCACCTCATTGACTTTCACTTTATGACGTCACTTTAACTGAACTTACCTGCAGGTGTCAGCATGTCTTCTCAGATCATATTAAGGACTTTATCCGTGGTTCTGACGATGTTGATTATAATTAAAAACTCTGCCTCTTTCATGTGAATGTGCTCATACCTGGACAGATAAACCAGAGTTAACTGAACCAGTTGATAACCAGCTTCGTAGTACAGGTTATCAGGACGGTCAATTTTAAGTTCAGTTAAACCAGATAACTACAAGTTATGGGTTTGTTAAACTTACTTTGTAGTACAGGCCTCTGTTCCAAACACAATCCAGAACCATTTAAACCAGTACTGGAGGAAAACCTCAGATCATCTACTTCAGTAGAAGTACTAATACTGCAGAGTAAAAATACTACTTTTAAAACTTAACCAAGGGTTTATCATTTTATATTATAAATAATAAATATAAATATTTTATATTAAAACACTCTAGTATTAATACTCATACTATAAAGTACTAATCCTACAGTGTGAGTAATATTACTAAAGTATGCATACTGCACTAACAGTACTAATACTATAGAATGTCATCAAAATATTATAGTATAGTATGTCATAAAAATATAAAAAATGTCATAGTCTAGTATGTCATAAAAATGTCATATTATAGTATGTCATTAAAATGTCATAGTATATTATATCATTAAAGTATCATAAAAAATATAGTATAGTATGTAATAAAATATAAGAAAATGTCATAGTATAGAATGTCATCCACGTATCATAGAAAATATCATAGTCTAGTATGTCCTAAAAATGTGATAGTATAGTATGTCACAAAAATATCATAAAAAATATCATATTATAGTATGCCATAAAATTATCATAAAAAATGTCATAGTCTAGTATGTCATAAAAATGTCATATTTATAGTATGTCATAAAAATGTCATAGTCTAGTATGTTATTAAAGTATCATAAAAAATATCATAGTATAGTATGTAATAAAAATAAATAAAAAGGTCATAGTATAGAATATTATACAAATGTCATAGTATAGTATGTCATGAAAATGTCAAACTATAGTATGTCATTCAAGTATCATAGAAAATGTTATACAAATGTCATAGAAGATATGCCATAAAAATATCATAAAAAATGTCATTGTATAGTATATCATAAAAATGTCATAGTCTAGTATGTCATAAAAATATCATAGTATAGTATGTCATAAAAATGTCATAGTATAGTATGTCATTCAAGTATCATAGAAAATGTTATATAAATGTCATAGCAGAGTACGCCATAAAAATATCATAAAAAATGTCATAGTATAGTATGTCATCAAAATGTCATAGTATAGTATGTCATTAAAGTATCATAGTATAGTATGTAAATAAAATATAAAAAATGTCATAGTATAGTATGTCATAAAAATATAATAAAAATTGCATAGTATAGTATGTCATTCAAGTATCATAGAAAATGTTATACAAATGTCATAGAAGAGTAAAAATTTCATAGTCTAGTATTTCATAAAAATGTCATAATATAGTATGTCATTAAAGTATCATAAAAAAAAATCATAGTATAGTATGTAAATAAAATATAAAAAATGTCATATTATAGTATGTCATTCAAGTATCATAAAAAATATCATAGTATAGTATATCATAAAAATGTCAAAGTATGGTATGTCATTCAAGTATCATAAAAAATGTCATAGTATAGTATGTCATTAAAGTATCATAGTATAGTATGTAAATAAAATATAAAAAATATCATATTATAGTATGTCATAAAAATATAATAAAAATATCATTGTATAGTATGTCATTCAAGTATCATAAAAAATGTTATACAAATATCATAGAAGACAATGCCATAAAAATATTATGAAAAAAATGTCATAGTATAGTATGTCATAAAAATGTCATAGTGTAGTATGTCATAAAAATGTCATAGTATAGTATGTCATTAAAGTATCATAGTATAGTATGTAATAAAAATGTAAAAAAAAATGTCCTAGTATAGTATGTCATAAAAATGTCATAAAAATGTGATAGTAAAGTATATCTTAGTATAGTATGTCATAAAAATATCATAGAATAGTATGTCATAATGTCATAGTATAGTATATCATAAAAATGTCATAGTCTAGTATGTCATAAAAATATCATAGTATAGTATGTCATGAAAATGTCATAGTATAGTATGTCATTCAAGTATCATAGAAAATGTTGTATTAATGTCATAGCAGAGTACGCCATAAAAATATCATAAAAAACATCATAGTATAGTATGTCATAAAAATGTCATATTATAGTATGTCATAAAAATGTCATAGTCTAGTATGTTATTAAAGTATCATAAAAAATATCATAGTATAGTATGTAATAAAAATAAATAAAAAGGTCATAGTATAGAATATTATACAAATGTCATAGTATAGTATGTCATAAAAATGTCATAGTCTAGTATGTTATTAAAGTATCAAAAAAAATATCATAGTATAGTATGTAATAAAAATAAATAAAAAGGTCATAGTATAGAATATTATACAAATGTCATAGTATAGTATGTCATAAAATGTCATAGTATAGTATGTCATTAAAGTATCATAGTATAGTATGTAAATAAAAATGTCATAGAAGATATGCCATAAAAATATCATAAAAAATTTCATAGTCTAGTATGTCATAAAAATATCATAGTGTAGTATGTCATAAAAATGTCATAGAAGATATGTCATAAAAATATCATAAAAAATGTCACTGTATAGTATCTCATAAAAATGTCATAGTCTAGTATGTCATAAAAATATCATAGTATAGTATGTCATAAAAATGTCATAGTATAGTATGTCATTCAAGTATCATAGAAAATGTTGTACAAATGTCATAGCAGAGTACGCCATAAAAATATCATAAAAAACGTCATAGTATAGTATGTCATAAAAATGTCATAGTCTAGTATGTTATTAAAGTATCAAAAAAAATATCATAGTATAGTATGTAATAAAAATAAATAAAAAGGTCATAGTATAGAATATTATACAAATGTCATAGTATAGTATGTCATAAAATGTCATAGTCTAGTATGTTATTAAAGTATCAAAAAAAATATCATAGTATAGTATGTAATAAAAATAAATAAAAAGGTCATAGTATAGAATATTATACAAATGTCATAGTATAGTATATCATAAAAATGTCATAGTATAGTATGTCATTAAAGTATCATAGTATAGTATGTAAATAAAATATAAAAAATGTCATAGTATAGTATGTCATTAAAGTATCATAGTATAGTATATAATAAAAATATAGAAAAAATGTCATATTATAGTATGCCATAAAAATATCCTAATCTAGTATGTCATGAAAATGTCATAGAAGAGTATGTCATTCAAGTATCATAAAAAATGGCATAGTATAGCATGTCATAAAAATGTCAAAGTATAGTATGTCATTCAAGTATCATAGAAAATGTTATACAAATATCATAGAAGACAATGCCATAAAAATATTATTAAAAAAATGTCATAGTATAGTATGTAATAAAAATATTTAAAAAATGTCCTAGTATAGTATGTCATAAAAATGTCATAAAAATGTGATAGTAAAGTATATCTTAAAAATATCATAAAAAAATGTCATATTATAGTATGCCACAAAATATCATAATCTAGTATGTCATAAAAATGTCATAGAAGAGTATGTCATTCAAGTATCATAAAAAATGTCAAAGTATAGTATGTCATTCAAGTATCATAGAAAATGTTATACAAATGTCATAGAAGATATGCCATAAAAATATCATAAAAAATGTCATTGTATAGTATATCATAAAAATGTCATAGTCTAGTATGTCATAAAAATATCATAGTCTAGTATGTCATAAAAATGTCATAGTATAGTATGTCATTCAAGTATCATAGAAAATGTTATACAAATGTCATAGCAGAGTACGCCATAAAAATATCATAAAAAATGTCATAGTATAGTATGTCATCAAAATGTCATAGTATAGTATGTCATTAAAGTATCATAGTATAGTATGTAAATAAAATATAAAAAATGTCATAGTATAGTATGTCATAAAAATATAATAAAAATGGCATAGTATAGTATGTCATTCAAGTATCATAAAAAATGTTATACTATAGTACGTCATAAAAATGTCAAAGTATAGTATGTCATTCAAGTATCATAGAAAATGTTATACAAATATCATAGAAGACAATGCCATAAAAATATTATTAAAAAAATGTCATAGTATAGTATGTCATAAAAATGTCAAAGTATAGTATGTCATTCAAGTATCATAGAAAATGTTATACAAATATCATAGAAGACAATGCCATGAAAATATTATTAAAAAAATGTCATAGTATAGTATGTCATAAAAATGTCATAGTGTAGTAAGTCATAAAAATGTCATAGTATAGTATGTCATTAAAGTATCATAGTATAGTATGTAATAAAAATATTAAAAAAATGTCCTAGTATTGTATGTCATAAAAATGTCATTAAAATGTGATAGTAAAGTATATCTTAAAAATATCATAAAAAAATGTCATATTATAGTATGCCATAAAATATCATAATCTAGTATGTCATAAAAATGTCATAGAAGAGTATGTCATTCAAGTATCATAGAAAATGTTATAGAAATGTCATAGAAGATATGCCATAAAAATATCATAAAAAAATGTCATATTATAGTATGCCATGTGATAGTAAAGTATATCTTAAAAATATCATAAAAAAATGTCATATTATAGTATGCCATGTGATAGTAAAGTATATCTTAAAAATATCATAAAAAAATGTCATATTATAGTATGCCATGTGATAGTAAAGTATATCTTAAAAATATCATAAAAAAATGTCATATTATAGTATGCCATGTGATAGTAAAGTATATCTTAAAAATATCATAAAAAAATGTCATATTATAGTATGCCATGTGATAGTAAAGTATATCTTAAAAATATCATAAAAAAATGTCATATTATAGTATGCCATGTGATAGTAAAGTATATCTTAAAAATATCATAAAAAAATGTCATATTATAGTATGCCATGTGATAGTAAAGTATATCTTAAAAATATCATAAAAAAATGTCATATTATAGTATGCCATGTGATAGTAAAGTATATCTTAAAAATATCATAAAAAACGTCATTGTATAGTATGTCATCATAATGTCATAGTATAGTATATCATAAAAATGTCATAGTCTAGTATGTCATTAAAGTATCATAAAAAATATCATAGTATAGTATGTCATTCAAGTATCATAAAAAATGTTATACTATAGTACGTCATAAAAATGTCAAAGTATAGTATGTCATTCAAGTATCATAGAAAATGTTATAGAAATGTCATAGAAGATATGCCATAAAAATATCATAAAAAATGTCATTGTATAGTATATTATAAAAATGTCATAGTCTAGTATGTCATTAGAGTATCATAAAAAATATCATAGTATAGTATGTCATTCAAGTATCATAGAAAATGTTATAGAAATGTCATAGAAGATATGCCATAAAAATATCATAAAAAATGTCATTGTATAGTATATTATAAAAATGTCATAGTCTAGTATGTCATTAGAGTATCATAAAAAATATCATAGTATAGTATGTCATTCAAGTATCATAGAAAATGTTATAGAAATGTCATAGAAGATATGCCATAAAAATATCATAAAAAATGTCATTGTATAGTATATTATAAAAATGTCATAGTCTAGTATGTCATTAGAGTATCATAAAAAATATCATAGTATAGTATGTCATTCAAGTATCATAGAAAATGTTATAGAAATGTCATAGAAGATATGCCATAAAAATATCATAAAAAATGTCATTGTATAGTATATTATAAAAATGTCATAGTCTAGTATGTCATTAGAGTATCATAAAAAATATCATAGTATAGTATGTCATTCAAGTATCATAGAAAATGTTATAGAAATGTCATAGAAGATATGCCATAAAAATATCATAAAAAATGTCATTGTATAGTATATTATAAAAATGTCATAGTCTAGTATGTCATTAGAGTATCATAAAAAATATCATAGTATAGTATGTCATTCAAGTATCATAGAAAATGTTATAGAAATGTCATAGAAGATATGCCATAAAAATATCATAAAAAATGTCATTGTATAGTATATTATAAAAATGTCATAGTCTAGTATGTCATTAGAGTATCATAAAAAATATCATAGTATAGTATGTCATTCAAGTATCATAGAAAATGTTATAGAAATGTCATAGAAGATATGCCATAAAAATATCATAAAAAATGTCATTGTATAGTATATTATAAAAATGTCATAGTCTAGTATGTCATTAGAGTATCATAAAAAATATCATAGTATAGTATGTCATTCAAGTATCATAGAAAATGTTATAGAAATGTCATAGAAGATATGCCATAAAAATATCATAAAAAATGTCATTGTATAGTATATTATAAAAATGTCATAGTCTAGTATGTCATTAGAGTATCATAAAAAATATCATAGTATAGTATGTCATTCAAGTATCATAGAAAATGTTATAGAAATGTCATAGAAGATATGCCATAAAAATATCATAAAAAATGTCATTGTATAGTATATTATAAAAATGTCATAGTCTAGTATGTCATTAGAGTATCATAAAAAATATCATAGTATAGTATGTCATTCAAGTATCATAGAAAATGTTATAGAAATGTCATAGAAGATATGCCATAAAAATATCATAAAAAATGTCATTGTATAGTATATTATAAAAATGTCATAGTCTAGTATGTCATTAGAGTATCATAAAAAATATCATAGTATAGTATGTCATTCAAGTATCATAGAAAATGTTATAGAAATGTCATAGAAGATATGCCATAAAAATATCATAAAAAATGTCATTGTATAGTATATTATAAAAATGTCATAGTCTAGTATGTCATTAGAGTATCATAAAAAATATCATAGTATAGTATGTCATTCAAGTATCATAGAAAATGTTATAGAAATGTCATAGAAGATATGCCATAAAAATATCATAAAAAATGTCATTGTATAGTATATTATAAAAATGTCATAGTCTAGTATGTCATTAGAGTATCATAAAAAATATCATAGTATAGTATGTCATTCAAGTATCATAGAAAATGTTATAGAAATGTCATAGAAGATATGCCATAAAAATATCATAAAAAATGTCATTGTATAGTATATTATAAAAATGTCATAGTCTAGTATGTCATTAGAGTATCATAAAAAATATCATAGTATAGTATGTCATTCAAGTATCATAGAAAATGTTATAGAAATGTCATAGAAGATATGCCATAAAAATATCATAAAAAATGTCATTGTATAGTATATTATAAAAATGTCATAGTCTAGTATGTCATTAGAGTATCATAAAAAATATCATAGTATAGTATGTCATTCAAGTATCATAGAAAATGTTATACAAATATCATAGAAGACAATGCCATAAAAATATTATTAAAAAATGTCATAGTATAGCATGTCATAAAAATATCATAGTATAGTATGTCATTAAAGTATCATAAAAAATGTTATACAAATGTCATAGAAGAGTTTGTCATAAAAATATCATTAAAAACATCATAGTATAGTATGTCATAAAAATTTCATAGTGTAGTATGTCATAAAAATATCATAGTGTAGTATGTCATAAAAATGTCATAGTATAATATGTCATTAAAGTATCATAAAAAATGTCATAATATAGTATGTCATAAAAATTTCATATTATAGTATGTCATAAAAATATAAAAAGTCATAGTATAGTACATTATGAAAATATCATAGTATAGTATGTCATAAAAGTATCATAGAAAATGTCATAGTATAGTATGTCATAAAAGTATCATAAAAAATGCCATACTATAGTTTTTCATAAAAATGACATTACAGAATCTGCCCAACAAATCCTGAATCTGGCCTTTAAATCATAAATGTGTCAAATAATCATTAGCCATACTTATTTAAAGCTTTTTTTTTTTTGCCTTTTATTATTCCTTTTGATACTGATAGGACAGTGAGAGATAGACAGGAAAATGACAGAGAGAGAGAGAGAGGGAATGACATTTAGCAAAGGGTCGTTAGTCAGATTTGAACCCATAGCCGCTGCGGCTAGAACTGAGGCTACGTGGTATGCACTCTACCAGGTGACCCACCGAGTCGCCCCCTACCCCTACTTATTTAATTAACAAATTCAACAACATATAGAGTAAACAAAATCAAACTAGAATAAACCATAATCCCGAAGACGAGAGATAAAGAGAATACTACTTACACAGAAGATAAAGCAAAAGACACATGACAAACACACACCAGAATTCAAGAGGTGACGGGGGTTGGAGACAAAGAGGAAGTCCTCTATTTACAAGGTGGGAGGAGGAGCCCCCTTGTGGAGAGGAGGGAATATGACTCTGCAGTTTCTTACACATAGTATAGCATGTCAGAAAAATATCAGAAAAATATCATAACATAGTATTAGTGCCCATACTGGAGTATTAGTACTCACACTGTAGTATTATTGTAGTATTAGTAGTCATACTGTAGTATGACTACTCATACTGTAGTATTACTTTAGTATTGGTACTCAGTGTTTGACCACAGCTTCTGTTCAGTTTGTTTTCATGCTGAGCTTCATCTTGTGACTCTGACTCACTTCACACTCTCTGATCACAAGACTGATGACTCACTGTCACCTGACCCCTGTTCTGCTGCTGATTGGCTGATGAGTGATGTCATGATGTAACACCTGAGCAACTTCTGGAAATACAGATGAGAAAAAAAAGTGAGCTCATCTGAAGAAACAGAAATTAAACACAAACACAACAGGAGGATGAAGAAGAGCTCATGTTCAGGAGGAAGAACAGTGAACGTGTGTGTTCAGGTCTGCACTGATTTTAGGTTTAATCAGTTTAATGAAACTGAAGAGCTGAATATCTGTAAACAGGGTTAATATTTGTTTTTAAAGATACATTTCATTTATTTCACAGAATTAAAAAGTAGAACAGATACAGAAAAACAACTTTAAAAAACTAGAATGTCATACAGTTTAAGACCATCAGCAGAAAAAACTAAAATAAAACAATCAAATACATCATAGATCATGAAAAATAGTATGGACATACACAAAATATTATAAATGAAGTGATGAATGAAAAAAATGTTGGCTGGTCCCTCTGATGGGGTTGCAGCTCCAGACCTGGAGCTGCAACCCCGGTCTGGAGCTGCAACTAACGATCATTGTCATCAATAATTCAGTAGCTGATTATTAGTTTTTGATGAATTCTTTGGTCTATTTAAATGTAAAATAGTAAAAACTTATAATTTCCCATGGTCCAGTGATGTCTTTGAATGTCTCATGTTGGGTCTCCAACTGTCCAAAATCCAAAAAACTTACGTTTACTGTGATTTACGACAAAGAGCAGCAACAAACCGTAACAGAAAATGTTTTAACAATTATTCATATGTGAAAATTGTTGGGTCTTTTTGGGTTTTTTTTAATGATTAATTCATTGATTAATCTACTGATAAATGAAACAGTTGACTTCAAAGATAAATTGAAATATTTTAATCAAGCATGGAAGAACCACATGAAGGACTGATGTTTTATATTGTATTTGTACTTGTAGGGGGGTTTTTGGGAGTTTCATGTCTACAAACCAAACTTCAGTGTATTTAATAAGACTTTTAGTTTATAATAGGACACTCTGGCACTCAGAAGAACAGGCCATGTGTATATATATATATCTGCATTGGAGAGCATATTCTATTTTATCAATGAAATTGAAATTGAAATTAAAAATCTGTTTGTCTGTTCAACTGATGGTTCAATTAATATAAAAGTTTAATGTGAAAACAGAATGGAAGTTTGAGAACATGTTAAAATTTTATTAAACCTGTTTATTAAACTTCATTAAACCTATTTATTAAAACTTATGCATCTCTATTAAACCTTATTAAACTTTATTACACCTGTTTATTAAACCTTATACAATTTTATTAAACCTGTCTGTTTACATTTCAGGCTTCACTAAAACACTTTACAGTTAAACACTTAAACAATCCGCTATCTTGTCTCATGACGATGACTCCGTTTTATTTTTATTTATCTTATTATTCATGAACTTTACACAGGGTGAATCTAATTGGTCCACTGACTCATTGGGGAAATCCCCTCATTGGAAAGTGCTTAGTCATTCCTTGAGCTCTCATTGGTCGACTGGGCGGAGTCATGTGCGCCGACCAATTGAAGGCCGCGACAACATTTACGTCTCCTAACGACAATGACGTCTGTCGCGGAAGTAAACATAAACTAAGCTGAGAGGTTTTAACGCTGCGTCACAAAGTTTTTCAACGAGTGTAGAAGTGCGTGTTGTCTGGTCCACTTTGAGCGGTCAGCGCTGAGTCTCAGTCTTCTGTCTGGCTCAGTTTGGTTCGGTTCAAAGTCTGGTTCGGTTTGGTCCGGTTCAGTGTGCGGTGTACCCGGGTCCCACAGCAGCATGTCAGTGACGGTGAAGGCCTACCTGTTGGGGAAAGACGAGTCGGTGAAGGAGATCCGGAGGTTCGCGGTGGATCAGGACGTTTCCTGCAACTTCGAGTACCTGAGCAAGAAAACCGCGGGAGTCTTTAACAACCTGAAGAACAGCGGGTTGAACTTGTACTACAGAGGTAAGACATTTATATTATTATTGTCTGATTACGCAATCGACGTGTTTGATACAGATCAGTCAATATAAAAAGTTCCACTGAAGATAAAACACTGAGATGATTATAAATATATAAACATGAAATGTACCTGCACATTTAAATCAGGTGTTTCTCTGTTCGAGTTCTGCAGTGACACAGGCTCAGGTGTGAACCTTCACCTGCTTCTAATTTCAGGATGGTCAGACTGGTTTCACTGGGCAGGGACAGGTGTACATACCTGAGTGAACAGGTGTTTCTGAAGTTAAATCTGTCATTAAAACCGATTTGTGTTAAATAAAACATACAGTTTGACTCCTGAAGCTGCTGCACTAAAATCAAGTAGAACAGGTGATATGTTCTGTATGAGCTCAAGTGCGCTGACTCCTCCCCCTGCAGTGTTTTGGGTGTTTGTGGGGACCAGGACTAGATGGTCCTGACTACCGCAGGTGTCTGAATGTTCAGACCAGGTTCAGGTCAGGATCAGGTCCACTATGGTCCTCACACCTTCAGACAGACCAACAGAGGAGTGTTAGATTTATTTTTATTAGAATTATTTTTCTGATCAAACAATAATAAAGTTAAGCTTCAGATTGTGACCTTTAAATAATTTAAAACCATTATATGTTGGTGAGGAGATAAAACTGTATAATAATAATTAACTCTAATATCATGATGTTACTGTAACAATCTAATATAATAATTAACTTTTTATTTCCATTTAAATTAAAAGCATTATTGGAGAATGTAATTCTCAAACTCATTTCACTCTGTTTGAATGACACTTTTATTTATTTTATAAAATAAATGGTGGCTCACCTGAGAGAGCACGTACCACAAAGGGTTAGTCCTCACCACAGCAGCCCGCTGCCCTTCACTGCATGTCCTCTCCCCCTCCCTCCCTCCCTGCCTCTCTACTATCAGATTAAAGGCAAAAAAATAACTTAAAAAAAATTTCAATCTTTATTTAGATTTGATATAAATTTACTGAGTATGAATATAATGTAAATGTGTTAGTTTAATGATGTTTAATGTTGTGTAATGTATTGTGTTTAATGTATTAAACAATCAGACTGAAGCTTTTATGTTTCAGATTGAGAGGTTTTGATGTCATTATTAGAGTGGAGATGATGATGATGATTGTTCCAGATGAAGATGGAGACCTGGTGGCCTTTTCCTCTGATGATGAACTGATGATGGGGCTGGCCTGTATGAAGGATGACACCTTCCGCCTCTTCATCAAAGGTAAACACATGATCCACACACCTGGAGCTCACCTATCTTCAGACAGATGGTGACTGTAAGAATAAAATAATATTGTAACACTTGATCAGATTAATAATAATAATAATAATAATAATGATAATGATCTGGTTTAAACTGCAGTGTTTCTGTTTTAACTCTTTAGAAAAAAAAGAGCACCGCCGGGACTTTCCTCTCCACGCCTTCCCCCCCTTCGCCTTTGGCCCCCCTCCTCCCCCTCCACTTGGAGCTCCTCACCTGGCCCCGCCCCCTGCCCTGCACCCTAATGTCACCTGTGACGGCTGCGAGGGTCCGGTGGTGGGAACTCGCTTCAAATGTTCTGTTTGTCCGAACTATGACCTGTGCTCTGCCTGCCAGGCTCAGGGGACACACACTGAGCACGCTCTGCTGCCCATCTGGCACCCACTGCAGGTGAGGGGGATCATGGGATACCTATGATGTCATAGTGTGATATCACTGCAGTTAGGTGGGTTAACCACCAGAGGAACTTTATTATTATTAAAACTTTATTTACAGCTTCAGACATGAACAGCAACTCTTAATGTTTCCTGAAACAGTTCAGGACCCAGGTCCCCACACACACACACACACACACACACACACACACACACACACACACACACACACACACACACACACACACACACACACACACACACACACACACCTCAGTCACTGACAGGTGAGCTCACCAGTGGTGACTTCAACGCTCAGTCAGGTGTGTGGCTGAACTGTTCCTTCTCCGTCTGCCAGCAGTGGTTTCCTCGGGGGAAGTGGATGAAGAGGATCAGAAACTGCCCGGGGAACCAGAACCAGAACCTGAACCAGGGTAAAACCCTCAACCAGGACAAGGACCATGACCAGGACCAGGCTGGACCCTCCACACCTGCAGATGAATCTGGTCAGTATCAGGAACTGCTTTTACCTAATAATCAATAACTGACCTTTGATGACCTCTGACCTCTCCTAACTAATGACATCATCAGTGATCTCTGACCTCTATCCGCAGCCTCTCAGGCCAATGTGGACTTCCTGAAGAACATCGGGGAGGGTGTGGCGGCCATGTTGAGCCCGCTGGGTGAGTGATGTCACTGATCACACCTGAGATTAACAACGCTTTCTGATTGGTTGACACTCAGGAAGTGATGGTGTTCTTTTCAAAATAAAAGTTCAGTTAAAGGAGGAAGTGATTTACCTCAGTTTGACTAACACGACTGGCCTCAAACAGGAAGTGATGTCATGTGTGCAGGTATCGACGTGGACATCGATGTGGAGCACGAGGGTCAGAGGACGAAGGTGACCCCTCCCTCTCAGACTGGAGGGGGGGGTGATGCGAAAACTGATGGAGGCGGTGAAGACAGTGGAGCCAGCGAGGGGTCAAAGGTCAGTTCTACATCATCACCAGAAACAAGAAGTTGTGACCTCAGGTAACCCCAGCTGAAATGATTACTTACAGAAATTAATTGGCAACAATTTTAACAAGTGAACTCAACATGTGAAGGTCAGAGGTCAGAGAACAGTCTGTTACCATGGAGATACAGGTGTTAGTTCAGAGTTGAACTCACAGGGGACTGGTCTAAACCTGAACCAGGTCCACTAGACACTAGAATACCCAGTATGAACCAGTGTAAACCATTATAAACCAGACTCTGGACTGTGTGGTCTACAGGTGAGCAGAGACTCTGATGAGGAGTGGACTCACCTGAGCTCCAGAGAAGTCGACCCCTCCACTGGAGAATTGCAGTCCCTCCAGCCTGGGAACCAGGACCAGGGGCCCCCGTCAGAGGGACAGCAAGGGCCCCCGTCAGAGGGACAGCAGGGTCCAACAGGTCTTAGGGAGGCAGCTCTATACCCCCACCTGCCTCAAGGTAAGACCACATCCTGAACCTGAGTCTGAACTAACTGAGACGACTGACCCCTTCCTTTAATGACCTCTGATCCCCCCCCCAGAGGCAGACCCTCGCCTGGTGGAGTCCCTGTCCCTTATGCTGTCCATGGGCTTCACTGACGAGGGGGGGTGGTTGACTCGACTCCTACAGGCCAAAAATTTCGACATCGGAGCCGCACTCGACGCCATCCAGTACGCCAAACAGCCCCGTCCACACCAGCCCTGATGACATCAGTGACATCATCACCCATACTAAACCAATGACATGAGGTTGTTTATACTGTTTCCCATAATCTGAGGCTGTTATCATAAATCAATACTCTAACTCATTGATTAGTGAGTCTTTGTATTAGTCACGTTTCTAAATAAAAACTTTATTAAACTCAACTTTAAACTGATTCAGTTGTTATTGATCATTACAGATCGGTTCTAAAATCATCAGTAAATAAAGTGAAATATTGCTGACTGTTTTTTCTGAGCTGAAATTAATCAGCTGCTATTTTGATAGATTAGTCAGTTTTCACTTCACGTTTGATATTTAGAGCAGAGAAAATTCTGATAATCAATTCATTCTGATGTTTTTACTTTTCTGACTGACAGGAAACTCAGTCATCTCTGATCAGTTATTTTATCTGAGCTGTAACTAATCAGTATTTTTATGAATTAACCTGTTGATTATTGTCTCAGTGCAAAGATTTTCCATTTAGAAAATAATCATCAGAATAGTTCCAGATTCATCTACTAATTGATTATATATTGTCTCCGCTCTGATCAATACATCAATGGCTACAGAGAAGCTACAGTTCATAGAGGAAACAATCAGTTCATTAATCAATCAACGAAATATTATTTTAAGTTTAAGTCTTTATTTCTTCTAGAGCTGCAACAATTTTTCAATAACTAATTAATGATTGATCAATATCATTCTCTGATCAGTAAACTGATATTTATAACAAAATAATCAGCAGGTTAATCAATGTCAGAACAGCTGATCACCTTCATTAACCTGCTGATGAGTGAGTTTTAATTTCACGTTCTGTCTAGAACCCAGAGTCAGAAACATGAGAACGTTCTCACCAGAGAACCAGACTCCAGAAGTTTCAGAACTGAACAGTTCAGATGAAACAGGTTCAGTTCCAGTTCTTTCAGAACCAGTTTCATCTACTCTATGGTTTAAACGCTCAGATCCGTCAGGAACTCCTCATCCTCAAAGCTGAACTCCTCTTCGGTCTCAAACAGGGAGGAACCAGGACGCAGGGGGTGGGGCCTGATGACATCACAGGACAAAGAGGTGGCTCTATCCATTGGCTGATTCTGCCCACTGATAGAAGGTTCCTTCCCCTCCTGCACCTGACAGTCAGAACTGAGGAACCAAGTCCACTTGGAGACTGGAGCAGTACTCAGGCTAGGAGGATTCATTCTCTTCTTACTGGGATGTTTGGTATGGGTCAGACTGGACTCGTTCAGACTAGGAAGACTAGTGTGGGTCAGACTGGGAGGTCTGGTGTGGTTCAGACTAGGAAGACTAGTGTGGGTCAGACTGGGAGGTCTGGTGTGGTTCAGACTAGGAAGACTAGTGTGGGTCAGACTGGGAGGTCTGGTGTGGTTCAGACTAGGAAGACTAGTGTGGGTCAGACTGGGAGGTCTGGTGTCGGTCATGCTGGTGGTTGTGGCTGAGGGTCTGGAGCAGCTGGACTGAAGAGAGAAGAAGAAGGAGGAGGTTTAATTCTTAATAGTCCAAGGTTCCTGTTCTGTAGGTTCTGCGGTTCCTCAGGGAAACATTCTGGGTCCTCTGACCTTCTTATTATAAACAACACAACACTGGTTCTCCAGGTTTTCATCAGTCCAGAGTCCACAAGGTTCAGACTGGGACAGTCCAAATACCAGAGGACTTGAGCGGTTTAATTTGACTTTGATTCGTACAAAGTAAATAAATCTGTAAATGTAAACATTTGAAGTAAAAACTGGTTTTATGGAGCAGATGGTTCTGACTAATTAGATCAATTTAAGTTCTGTTCGCATCAAACATGATACACATCAGTCCAGAATCCTCTATAGAATCGAGTGTGTTGATTCATGGTGTTGGTTCTGTGTCATTACAAACTGGTTCCTAAGTGAATTTAATGATGACAACGGCTTTAACTCACCTGTACCTGACTGTATTCACCTGTACCTGACTGTACCCGCCTGTATTCAGCAGGGGGAAACTGTAAGTGATGTGTCCCTAACTGTACAGGTAGTGTTAGTTTTTACAGTGATGTCAGTACATTACCTGTACAGTTGTGGTTCTCTTCCTCTTCCTGTCGGAACACAGAGGGTTAAAGGTCAGAGGTAATTTTTTAATGTACAGGCCACAGCGCCCCCTCACCTGGTTATCAATCAGTTTTTGATCAGTTATCTATCAGAATTGCTCTGTCTCTACAGGTATGTGGGTGGGGCCTTTAACAACATACTCTCTCTGAAGTCCCACCTGTCAGTCATGTTGTTGCCATGGAGCTGTTGTCTGTCCATCAAAATATTGTCCTCCTCCGGCTCCCCCTCTTCATTCGCCTCCTCTGGTTCATCCAGGTACTTGCACCAACGGCTCACCTGAGTCTGTCTCACCTGCAGACAGTCAGAGCAGAGAGTGTGAGTGTGTGTGTGTGTGTGTGTGTGTGTGTGTGTGTGTGTGTGTGTGTGTGTCTTCTCACCTGGTTGTCTCGCTCCTCCTCAGGTTCTTCCTCTCCATCTGCCTCCACCTGTTCCCTGTTAGCAAACATCAGTCAGACATAGGTGAGACTGATGCTGCTCAAAGAAACTGCAGTGTATTGTGTGACAGATTAGTTACCATAGCGACCAAGTGTTCTGCTCCTGCTTCTCAATCATGGCTCCTCTCATGGCATTCAGTTTCTGAACATGACGTCTGCAGTCGGCCCCAGTGCCCCGCCCAAACTCCTGTCAATTGGTAAATCAATCAGGCTGACAGGTGACACACATGGCTCATCAGTCACATCTGTCCAGGTGAGACTACATGATAGCACCTGCCCTACTTGTTTTAATTCTCTGATCGATCAGATCAAACTGACAGTTTGAGTGACGAGAGTACAGAGCCCAAGACCAGGTCTCTGACTCGGGTCTGTAGACCAGACAGAGCTGATTCACACCTGTTCCCAGCTAGATGACCCCTGAACTGGACTCTCAGGTGACTAATGTGTAGCGACAGTCACATTGACTGAATCTCTTTGGGATTTTAAAGACAAAACAATTAATGACCAAAATATTGATTAATAATCAATAATAATGATCTTTACTCTGTGGACCTCTGTGTTCACGATTTCCTGTGTTTCAACAATAAAGTTATTTTCTGACCTTGAGCAGCGACTGTTTATCTCCACACACTTTACAGCTCCACCTGTTCACCTTCTTCACCTGTCAGACACAAAACAACACAGGGGGAAAGTATCTCTGCAGTCATGCCTTCAGAATAAAACCAGAATCAGACAAAAACGTCACCCAATATTTCTAAGTACTTTTAATTTGATGACACCCTGTTGGTTTTTATTTTGAAGAAATATCTGGTCTTTAATAAAAACACAACAACACTGTGCTCTGCGGCGATAGAACTGAACAAGACAAATGTGGGAAACAATAATATCAAGGAATTCTGTGTTAGCCTGTTAGCTTAGCATTCTGCTCCGCAGCATTTGTGTGTGTGTAATGTGTTACCTGTTGAACCTGAAAACTCTCACACGAGAAACACCTGACCACGTGAAACTCCTGGACCATGACGAAAAGGTTTGAAACGGATCTAGCCCTGGTTCTGGTCCACACGGTTCTGGTCTTCAGAGTCCCACTCCGGCTGTTTCTTGTTTTTTCCCGGGTGTATTTGAAGCGAGATTGCACGTCACACCCTACGTCAAAGCGGCAGCAGTGTGCGTATTACGTCAGAGCGCTCCCTGCAGGCCGGAGGATCCGATTTTGTGACCAGAAGACCAGGAATAGATGTATATACTGTTGACTATTAATAAAAAAGAACATAATATAAAATAGTATAATATAATATAGTAAATTTGACAGATTTCTGTTTTTTTAATAATTCAATTTACATGTGAAATGAGCAGAAACTCATTTAATTCTTATAATTTTAAAAACATGACACCATAGAAGAAAAAAGTGTTTTCCTGTAGTATTTATTAGAACAGAATACAGATCAATAACTGATCAATATGACAGATTTAAAAGCAGGTTGGTGAATATATACAGAGAAGAATAAAAGCACAGAAACATCCTCTGACATCAAGTCAAGTAAAGAAGTCAGACTGGTCAAGAAGTAAACAGGAGTGATGTCATCACACAGGCAGATAAACAAACAAGGCTTTAGTGACGTCAAAATAAGAGTCTACAGGTGTGAACTCACCTGGTGAAGCATACATTTTTTCATTAATACGACCTTGTGGTTTTATCAATATACAGTTAATATAAGTGAACTGTACAGAAACTAAAACATTTAAACATGAAACAAGTTTATTTTATTTCCTCTAAATAAAGTTTCGACTTCCCCATTTATCTAATTGCATTTTATTTTCTTAAAATCAATCTATCAGTTCAGTTCTGCCTGTTTCCAACAGAAACCAACTTCTTTAGACCAGGTTCCGAGATAAACCTGGTGCACCAACTGAATTCATTCAGTCGGATCTGAGGTTCACTGTCAGATCATTTAATAATAAGATGTTAGGACTCCATGACACAGACACATGATCACATGATCATCACATGCTCATCACATGGTCACATGGTCACACGATCACATGGTCACATGATCGCATGACCTCAAAGATTCAGAATTTCAAATTGTGAAAAAACATTTGTTCAACAAAACAAAATCACCTTTTTGGACTTTGGGGCTTCTGTAGTTGTGTTAGTGTCATGTTGACCTGTTTACCTGTTGACCTGTTTACCTGCCCATCAGTTAGTTTGTTAGTTTTCAGCTGACTGGTTGATCCTGCGGAGACTTTAAACAGGTCTCACCTGCACACACAAGATCTATAAATCAATACCAAATCAATACCAGATCAATAGAGAGAGCATTTAATAACAACTATCTGGAAACAGTGCAAAAACTTAGGGGACGATTTCAGGGTCAGTGTGACATGAAGAATAAAACCTGGATCTGGACCATGGTCTGGTCCTGGAATGGGGTTTAGTCCAAAGTTAGCCTGAATGAAAAGGGTCAGTGACATCACAGAGTAGTGACATCACACCATAATAATCAGACTGATGACATGTTTCCTCTCTGTGTCTCTAAGGACATACCGGCCAATCAGAGAGTGTCTGCTGCTGAAAAGAGTGTGAGATGATCAGGAACGCTCAAATCGGGAGGTGACATCATCATAAACCACTTGATCGATCAGCTGATTTGAAATCAAGGATCTGCTCTCAAGGAGCTTCCCTGCTGAAATAAATACAGGTAAAGGTGAGTTAGATGGAAAGTTAAAAGTGAGTTAGGTGGACAGGTAAAGGTGAGTTAGGTAGACAGGTAAAGGTTGGTCAGGTGGACAGGTACAGTTGAGTCATACTGAGTGCTGGGTGAGTTCGTGGTCGGAGGCGGAGCTTATCTGACGCTCCACCGCTCTCTGGGCCTTACAGGCGGCCATCTTGTTCTGGATGTCCACCTTCCTCTCAAAGTAGTCGACAAGCGGCGGCTCCGTCAGCAGCGACGCCAGTACCTGCTCGAAGGTGATTGACCAATCAACATCCAGGGTGCTGCCCCGCCTCTGCTCACCGCCAATCAGCACAGTGTCGTCGGCAATGTCCTCGCACTGCAGCGAACTGGAGCTCACCACCGAGTACGACGACACCGATGTGTCATCTTTGGTTTCCTCGTCAGATGTCTGCAGAGCTGCCGGCTCCAGCTGGGCGTCCGCCAGAGCCCGGCACACCTGAGACTCATCTGACCCCCCCTCACAAGGCCCCTCCTCCCTCTGAGGGTTTAAGGCCGCGGTCTGGGTGGGGGGCAGGGCCTGCAAGGCAGCAGTGTCAGTCTTCTTAGTCCCGTTGTTGAACTTCTTGCCGACCTCTCCGATGCGCAGCAGCAGACTTGCCACAGTGGCAATGGAGTGATAGAGCTCCTGCTCCAGAGGCTCCTCACTGAACATGTTGTACAGAGTCTTACACAACTCGATGAACTGCTCCTGCAACCACAACCACAGGTTAACTCTGCCACTCCCACACCTGAGCCCACACCTGGCCGGGTCCTCACCTGGTTCATCCGGGGCAGGTCTTTGATGGTCTCTCTCTTGGGCTCCTTCTCTTTGGCCCACATTCTCAGGTAGTACCTGTAGTCCTTCACCTTCTCCTCTGCAATAACAGCAGGTCAGAGGTCAGAGGTCACTTGTCACAGGTCAGGAGCCATGTTTCTATAAAGTGACTAAAAGCTGCTGATGTCAGAGAGTCCAGGGTGTATGTACAGTATTCAACCAAAATTCACTTCGGATCACAATCTGTTTTACTGGACAAGATTCCTGTGGACCTGATCCACAGAGGACCTGCATCTCAGACTCTGTTTATGTCCTGCTCACTCCTCCATGAACAGTCACAGAGTGAAGGTTAGAGACAGGTACATCACCTGTACACCCTGTCAACAAGGGTGGGGCATTTACCTTTCTTCTCCTCACTGTCTCCTCCTCCATCCTTCCCCTCCTCACCTGTTCACAGAGAAGAATCATCATCAAGACTGTGACAGTAACTAAAACACTGAGGTTGTTAAAATCTGAGTTAAACTAGTTAAGCTAGTTAACCCTGATAACAGACATCAGGTTAAAATAATTTCCATTTCCTGCTTTGATCTGCAGCCTCGAACACTGCAGCAAATTGCACCTCTGGCCACGCCCCTATCAATGATGTCATAGCACAGTGATACCTGTGTTGTGACATCACTGGCTGTGAACAGGGTTAGTTTAGAGTGCACTCCTGCTTACGAGCCGGTACTCTGATATGAGGGTCGCTCATGTAAAGAATCCTTTCAGACCCTCTGGCCATCTGTACCCTGAGCGCCACAGGATCCTCTACGCATGGTGATGCTGTAGTCCCAGAGAATTAATTAGTCAGTGGGTGGAGCTTTTAAAAATGTTAATCTGTTATCTCTAACAGAACCTGCTCCAGAGCAGTTACCATGGTGATGTACCCCGGTTACAATTGAACCACCAACGTAAACCCTGAAGTTACGTCGATAACCTCAGATCCTGCTTCATAGTACAGACCTCTGAGCTACAAAAGACAAACCTGATGTCACTTCCTGCTGCCCCAAAATGTCCAGATCAGACAAGAAGGAAGATTCTGGAGGGAAACACACGAAGAAGAGGAAGAGGAAGAGGAAGCAGTTTGAGAGGAAACACTCAGATCTGTTAATGAAAAGATTTTTCAGGCAAATCAAAAAAAGTAATAACAGTAGTAGCAGTAGTACTACCTGTAGTAGTAGTAGTAACAGTAGTAGTAGTAGTAGTAGTAGTAGTAGTAGTATCAGCAATAGTATCAGTAATAGTAGTTGTAGTAGTAATAGTACTAGTAGTAGTAGTAGTAGTGGTATCAGTAGCAGTAGTAGTATCAGTAGTAGTAGTTTTAGTTGTAGTAGCAGTAGTAGTATCAGTAGTAGCAGTTGTATGGAAAGCTGTTTGAGCATTTATTCGATATCCTTGATATCAAACGTAAGTTTCCTCTACTAGTTCGGTCTTTGGCAGCACTAGTTGGACATTTTGTCGAACTAGTTGGCCATTTTGCCGTACTAGTCGAACAAAAACTCGAACTAGTTATGCTTTTTCAGCAACAAGTGACACTTTTGGCCGACTAGTTCGGATAAAAGCCGTACTAGTTGCGCCAAAGTCCCAACTAGTACGCTTTTTTGCGCACTAGTTGACTACTAGACCAACTAGTAAACCAACCAGTAAAGCTCAAAGCCTTACTAGTTAACTAGTGCGCTGCAAAACCGCCAACATGTTAACTAGTCGAGCGCAAATTCGCCTTACTAGTTGACTAGTAAAGCTCAAAATGTTTACTAGTAGTACTAGTAGGAGCCAAAATGTCCACTAGTACTACTAGTAAGAGCCAAAATGTCCACTAGTTGCACTAGTAGGGCGTTTTTGGCCTTACTAGTACTACTAGTAAGAGGCAAAATGTTTACTAGTAGTACTAGTAAGAGCCAAAATGCTTACTAGTTACACTAGTTGCACAAAATGCTAATAATGAGGCATGAACTGAGGTTTCCAATTGGCACTCCAGTTCAAAATAAAGAAAACCAACCAATCAGGACTCAGAATTTCCTCATTATCCCACCTGTTTCACGTGCATGCAGTCAACTAGTACTACTAGTTGCCGTATTCCCGTACTACTAGTACTACTAGTGCAGCTCAAAATGTTTACTAGTACTACTAGTGGACATTTTGCCTCTTACTAGTAGTACTAGTAAGAGCCAAAATGTCCACTAGTAGTACTAGTAGGAGCCAAAATGTCCACTAGTTGCACTAGTAGTGAGTTATTGACCTTACTAGTAGTACTAGTAAGCGCCAAAAAGTTTAACTAGTTAACTAGTAACACAGATTTTTGCCTTACTAGTTAACTAGTAGAAGACTTTGAGCGAACATGTAGGAAATTTTTCGTACATGTTGACACTTTCCTTTAACTAGTTGAGCCTCGCACTGCACTAGTAAGCAACTGCGCGCAACTAGTACGACTTTTGTTTAACATGTTGGGCTTTTTGTCAAACTAGTTGAGGTTTTCGGCGCACTAGTCGACGTTTTCATCATACTAGTTCAACAAAATTGCATACTAGTCAACACAAGTGCGCAACTAGTACTACTAATGACGTTCTAAAATTTCAC